GATGATACCGAGCCACCTTGGCAAAGTGATTTGAGATTGAACGCTCTCCTTTGCCGTGATGCTAACAGAAAAACTCCAGAATAGTTAGGCAGCCGGTGTTTATGTTACTGAGCAATATTGTCTCATCGTCTCCCACCCCTTCCCCCCCTTCCATCTGAGAGTATCCACCGGTCATCTCCTGTCTCGTACTTAGATTGGAAGCTCTTCGGGACGGAGACTGTTTCTTTGTTCTGTGTTTGTACAGCGCCTAGCACCATGGGGCCCTGGGCCAGGGCTCCTAGGCAGTACTGCAATGCAGATAAGAATACAAACACCTGTCAGGAATGGTCTGGTTATTACATAGTCCTGCCGTGAGTGCAAGGGACGGGACTAGATGACCTCTTGAGGTCCCGTCCAGTCCTGCACTTCTACGGTTCTATGATTAACCGTATGTAAGTGTGAAATATGGAGCACGTAATTAAACTAGCTAGTGGCCTGTCGTGAGTTCTGGCTGTTCACACGATGCCTGTTTAAATCTCCTAGGATGGCGTCCAAATGAAAAAGCTCTCTGAGCAGGACGGGGAAATCACCAACAAGAAGCCCCGCAAAGCACCCAGTGCCAGGAGCATGCTGTATGGCCGCTTTGTGAAGGTAATAGGGCGCGCGGGTCGGTGTTCGGGATTCCCCGTCGCTGCAGACAGGCTCCTGGGCTGTCGGCTCTAACGTCTTGCATTTCTGTAGTGCCTTCTGTCCTGAAAGATCCCACAACTACACACATGCTTCAGCCACTGCTGAACTGCAGCCACCTTGGGCATGAAACGAGCCAACTGTCTGGCAGCGCATAGTGACGTTGTGCAGGGATTGCCCACCCAGTGTTGAAATGCAGTCCCCTCTGGGGTGGAGCATGGTAGCTGGACAGCATATAAGGATGCAGCATAGGGTTCGCTCACTGAGCTCTGAAATGCTGCTGCCTCGGGGGTAAAACAGGGCAGAAGTCTGACAGCACATAGCAACGGTGCACGGGGATCACGTTCCCTGTGCTGAAATGCAGCTGACTCTGGGGTCAGGCACACAGCTGTTTTGACACCTGTCCTGCAACACTGTACAGTTTAGGGACAGTAATAGTGTATCCAGCTGAGGCTGCGTGGAGGGGAATGTGGCCTAGATACTGGGGCTAATGACACACATTATATGGAGATATATCTGACTCATAGAGCTGGAAGGGACCTTGAAAGGTCATCGAGTCCAGTCCCCTGCCTTCACAGCAGGACCATGTACTGTCCCTGACAGATTTTTGCCCCAGATCCCTAAGTGACCCTCTCAAGGATTGAGCTCACAACCCTGGGTTTAGCAGTCCAATGCTCAAACCACTGAGCTATCCCTCCCCCGCCGCCATATAGAGTGCTACCTCCTCACAACCCTGTGCTCATCCCTCAAGAGGGGGTAGTGGAGCATTTCGTAGCTTCCCAGGCCACACGGGACTACTGTGATTGTCTAGTCTGACCGCCTGGATAACCCAGGCCAGAGAACTGCCCCAAAGTCATTGCTAGGACAGATCTTCTGGAAAAAACATCCCATCTTGATTTAAACACTGCCAGTGATGGAGAATCTACCACGCCCCTTGGGTAATGACTCTCTCTGTTCAAAAGGTACACCTTATTTCCAGTCTGAGCTTGTCTAGCTTCAGCTTCCAGCCGTTGGCTCATCTTAGACCTTCCTCTGCTAGATGGAAGAGCCCATGATTCCGTAGTTGTTCCCCATGCAGATACGTAGAGACTGTGATCAAGTCACCCCTTGCCCTTCTCTCTGTTAAACTAAATACGTAGACTCAGGCAGCTCAGTCGCTATATGGGACATTTTCTAATCCTTTAATCATTCTCGCGGCTCTTCTCTGTACCCTCTCCAATTTCTCACTGCCCTTCGTGAATTGTGCATAGATGTGGGGATGGGGAAACTGAGGCCCAGAAAGAGACCATCACTTGTGTCCAAGGCTACCCAGAGAGGCAGAGCTGGGGATAGAACCCAGAAGTCCTGACTTTCAATCTAATCTGCAACGCTACTTCTCTGGACTAACACAGAGCCTGCTCCCCCACCCTCCCACTCGCTTCCCCTACACCTGCAGCACGGGCCGTGGGGTGATGGGGGTGTCTCCAGCACGGTGATTTCTGACTGCACCTGTCTCTGTCCCAGGCGGCCACGCTGACGGCAGGAGGGGAGGAGCCAACGAAGCAGGTTTCCACCTCGGAGAGCAGCGAGGACGAGGAGGAGAAATTGGACCTGTCCAGTGTTAGGAAGTAAGTGCCCAGCCAGGCGTGGGGGCAGGGAGCAGCTGTTCTGAGCCACTGGGCTGGCCCATGTGCTAAAGGCACCAGCCACAGGACCCATCTCTGCTCAGAGGGCCAGATCCTTGAGAACAGCCTGTACCCCAAGGAGGTTGGGGGAGGGGCAGTCCTACTCCGTGATCGGATTCTGCAGTAGTCCCTGTGACTGCTGTGTCATCCCACGGCTAGTTGATCTCCATTGTGTTACAGCTGTCGTTCCCCCCCACCCCCCCAGCAGTGCAGGAGGAGTCCTTGTGCCACATGCAAGGGGGGGGGGGGAAGATCCCTGCTGGGTCTTCCTCCCCACCCCGACTTGCCAGAGAGCTCAGGGTTTGCTCGAGGACTGAACCATTTCTCCGGGGGAGTGGTGGACTTGGCTTCTCGGTGGCACCCTAGGAGCGAAATAGCCAGTTCTCCCCTCCTCGCTGGGACTTGCAAGCACCATGAGGGGTAGGTGAGCAGCTGTCCCTTTCTGTCTAGTGCCCCATGTGGTAGGGGCGGGGTAGGACACAGAATGTGGGCCCGCTGAATAGAACGGCACTGGGGAGCACACCCTGTTTACACACACACACACACACCCAGCTCTGGTGGCCTTCCCCACCCGCCAGCCAGCCTCTGACTAATTCATTCAGTCCTGGGGACAACTGGAAAACCGGAAATGCCTGGTTTCCACTGGGGGAATCTCTCCCCAGCTGTTGCCTTATGCATATCGCAGGCGGCGGTGTCATCCCTTGGATATACAGCTCGGCCTACAGAAGCACTGCAGCGGGCGACCCCTTTAGCAGTTAGCACCCCAGCGATCCCTGCTGCAAACTCTCGTCTCTCTCCCCCAGGCTGACGGATGAGGAGCTGGTCCGAGCCTGCGGCGGCCGCACTGCGCACAAGTAAGTGGGCGGAAAGACATGTCCTCCCCCTTCCTCAATTGCACCAGGATCCCTTCCAGCCCCGGTGCCTTCCGTTTATCCAGCATGGGGGGGCGGGGGGGGTGGAGAGTTCCACTGAATGACCTACCTTTCCTGCAGCTCAGGTGGACTTTTAAGGCTCCTGGACTGTAGCGTCCCAGGCTGGGGGCTATTCAGAGCGGGCTGAGTTGGGGGGCTGGTTCTGTTTGATTCCACATCTCAGGAACCCGTCCCCGCCTCTGAGTGCGGTGGGAGTGTGGGGCTGGAGCTCAGACCCTATGCTCTGCCCCCTGGTGGCACATTGCCCCGGCTCCCTGCTAACAAGGAGGCCCTGCCAGCAGGACCTGTTCTAACCCCTCCGACACTTGGCCCTCCTGCTTTGCTAGCCCGACCCAGGAGTCAGAGGGGGGATAGCTGGAGTCCAGTTCAGGCCCAAGGAAGGGAGGTTTGGCTCACGCACCCCCTAGTCCCCAGCATCCCAAGGCACCAGCCAGTGTCCAGCTGAGAGTCTGTTGGATGCAACTGCAGTGGAAGTGGGGAGGATACATTGCAGGGCTGACTTACAAGAGGGCGGTCGCAGGTCTCCCTGGCCTAGGCACCATCTCTTCTCAGGCCGTCGTTAACCTGCCCTGTCCGGTGCGTTCTTCCCAGGGGAGCCCGTCACGGTCTGACCATGAGTGCCAAGCTGGCCCGGCTCGAGGAGCAAGAGCGAGCCTTCCTGGCTAAGTACAGCCAGAAGGAGGAGCAGAGAGGCGGCGCCCCAGAGCGTCAGCAGGAGGCAGTGGCGGGTGCCTCGGCCCCGGAAAGCAGCAACCCGGCTGAGAGGCGGCAGAAAGCCAAGAAGAAAAAGCGGAAGAGATCCAAAGACAGGGGGGGTTGTGCCGAGGAGGAGGAGAGGCGGGCCAGGAAGAGGAGGAAGAAGAAAAAGAAAGAGAAGGGGGAAGCGGCGGAGGGTTTGGAGAGCGAGTTGCCGGACTCAAGGGAGCAGCCTGAGGGGAGGACGGACCAGGGCAGCCCCAGGGAAAGGGCCAAAAAGAAGAAAAAGAGGAAGGGGCAGTGAACGGGGGCTCATCCTGTTTGAGGGGGGTGCCACCCTCCCGCCTGCTATGAACCCGCCGCACATTCATCTCCTGCTGCGGGGCCTCTTCCCAGTCACTCGGCAACCGCTCTTTAGCCCATGTTTCCCACCCCCGCTTTGGCTGCAGGGGTTAACAGGCCGGCCCTCTTACCCAAGGGGGCCGCTCTGTGCACAAGTACGTGGGTGGAAAGACATGGCTAGTGTCTGACTGCTGGAAAAGAGCCACTGGGGCGTTTATAGCCGGGGTGGGGGTTTTTCCTCCTCCAGGATCTAACCCTGATGCTGCTGGAGCCCAGCCGGAAGCAGATGCTCTTAGGGCTTGTCCACACAGCAGGTTACTGCGTGAGGCACTTTCAGTGCATTGCAGCAGCGTCCACATGGGATGTTATCACCCAGTAACGTGCTGTGTAGACAAACCCTTTGACCCCGGACAAGGCGGAGCAAAGAGGAGACTAAAAAATACCCCTCACAGCACTGATCACAACCACTGAGCACGGCTCTGCCCTGCAGGGGAATCAGTTGATCACGCCACTCGTGAATAACTCAATTCTCCAGCTTTTGCATCCCATTTCTGGCTGTTGCGTCCCATGTGGGGTTGAAACACCAGTAGCGGCGGTGCGAGTTTTGCCGCGGACTTCACAGGGCCAGGGTTTCACCCGCTGTATGTTTGCAGCAGGGGTCAGATGGGAAGAGAAGGAAGGAAAGGCCAATTCAGAGAGATTTTTAGTGTCAATAAATCTTTTATTGCAGAGAAAAAACAAGGTGGATTTTATATACACATCAGCGGTGGCTACAGCTGTAAAGCCCATGGAACGCAGGCCTTTCCGTGTGTAGTATATTAAACAGAGTTCACGGCAGAGCTTCGTTTCTAGACCCACCTGTAACTCCCAACAAATACACTCCCCCCCTTTTAATGAACTTTAACCCTTTGGTTCTGATCCAAAGCCTCCCGCCGACTGCAAAGGGCCTTGGGTCAGACCAAGCACAATCCCCAGCACATGTGTGCTGACCACAGCTGGCTTTGCACGCGCCAGGCAGAGCTATGCCGGGGATTTCCTAGCACCAAACAAGGTGCTGAGCGCCCCCACCCGTGAGATCAGCGCAAGTCAAAGGCGCTTTGCAGAACCAGGCCCTACTGGCGCAGCACAGCTAGGCCTCACCCCTACTAACCAGCAATGCTCCCCTCCCCCCAACACCTGCTTGATTCAGTCAAACACGGGGCAGGGCTTGTCTCTGCTTCCCAATCAAATTTCCCCCCCCCCCCTTCCAGATTTTGGCCTGGCCCCGGCTAGGGTAACTGCAGGACGCAGTCAGTCTCGGGGTAGGGCGGCAGATTAAGTGAGTATTTTTGCTGCAGAGCCATTGGCACAAACCTGCCCCCCAGGAAGTGATAGCGGCCAGCAAAATGCTGCGCCGCTTTCTTGGGGGCAGTGAGAGAAATGAGCATGTCGGGCTGGAGGCCGTCGGGGCTGCCTTTCTCCACGTCCCAGCCTGAAAAAAAAAACAGGGGGAGCCAGTTAGCCAAGTAAGTCCCACTCCAGGCAAACTCCCTCCCACGTCTGAAGAGCTTCCCTGATGTCAATCATAAGAGCGTTACTAGTTCCCCACGGAATACGCAAGGCTCAATTCTCCTCTCACCGATCAACAACTCCCAGAACGTCTCTTCCGTTCATTATGGGAGCACCTAGAAACCCCAGCTGAGATCAGGCCTAGGTGCTGCAGAAGAGTGTGGGGGGAAAAAAAGTATTTGCCCCTATTTTATAGCTGGGGAATTGAGGCACGGAGAGATCTGCCCACGGTCACATGGAGCTGGGACTTGAACCTACTTTTCCTGAGTCCCAGTTCAACACAAGACCCTCATGCTGACTAACAAGATGGCTGACAAAGCAAATACTGGCTGACGCAACATAAAGCCAGCTTGTGAATTCACTCACAGGGCACAAGCTGGCCACGGTCAAGAAGGAATTCTTCCTTTCCCTGCCCTACCAGCACTGCCCAAGTGTGTTACCGGGGTAGAAACAATTATCTTCCCCTGAAGCCTCCGGCACTGGCCACCGGGATTTGGCTGGCCCAGTGAGTTTAAATCGATAGTACAAATCTTCACAGCAGAAGCCTGGGATAACCCAACAGGTCTGCTGCTGTCCCAACCGGTGACCTCGCTGCAAAGCGCAGCATGTCACCAGGACCTTAGAGGCCCACTAGGAACATAACAACCCTGCTGATGCAGCCAATGTGATCAAGAGAGAGAAGTTAATGGATGCCCGAGCGTCTGGGCAGCACCGGGACGGGATGGAACGAACCGGAGGGGATATCAATGCTGGCGATGGGGACGGTGACTTGCTCCAAGGTCCTGAGAATGCTGCCAAAAGGTTCCCGCACGGCTCCCTTGAAGCTGAACCCGAAAATAGCATCCACCACCAAGCCATACAGCTCGTCAATCAGCACGGCCTGCAGGCAAACGGGGGTCAAGAGATTAAAACAGCAGGACTCCCCCCCCCCCCCCGACCCCCGGCACATGCACACTACAGAACATATCTAGACAAGGAATAGTCTTAAGTACCAGCATCTCCAGCTGGGCCTGATCCTGGTCTCAGACTGGCGTAAATCCGGAGTAACCGCATTGGTTTACACTGGGGTGGCTGAGCTCAAGCCAGGTCAATCCGGGGTGACAAGCGAAATACAAAGGGCCTTATTCTAACCTCACCCATCTGTAAAGCAGGAGTCGCTCCACTGAAGTTAGACTGGCATACGGGAGAGGAGGCTCAAGCCCCGTATCTTTGTAGAAAGAGAACACGGCTACCCCAGTCTAAACGCACTGACTTAAGTGGAGTGACTCCTGATTCACACCAGCGTAACAGAGCAGACCACGGCCCAGTCATTTGCACACACGCTCCCTGCTCTGCAGAGAATTGGGTGGCAGCACCAGGTACATTTGTCAGAGATACAGGGGACGCCCAGACGCTGTGGCGATAAGCACCACAGAGATGCCCATGAACAAGTAATAAACCCACGTTGCTCATTTCCACTTTAACTGGATTTACTGGTTCTGCAGTGGTGCCTGAGAGCCCCGTCATGGAGCAGCTCCCCAGCATGTTAGGTGCTGTACAAACCCAGGACAAAAAGACGCTCCATCCTGTAGCCTTTCCCCTCTGACACCTCGCTTCCCCTTCTTCCTTGAGATCCCAAAGCACTTGGTGAATATTAATGATTTAACCTGGCTACAGGAAGTCAGACTAGGCCATCGCGATAGGCTTCAGAATCGAACCTAGACGAGGAAATTAACCCTTGGTCTGCGTCTGGCACGCGAGCCTCTCTCCCCTATTTTGTGCAGTGAGGCCTATACAACTGAAGCCATGAAATGGACCAAGACAGCACGAAAGTAACAATGCTGGAAATTCCACGCGCCCTACCTCCGATGGGAACTCCGAGAGAAAGGGAATGTCCATCTTCTGGCACTGAGTCGTCAACCCTTCAAACAGAGCTTTGCCGGGCCGCTTGGGGTAATGCACGCTCGGCTCGTAGCCCTGCAGGGACAGAACAATACCAGGCGACGCTCCGGTGTGGTCACGGGGCTGATTCCCAGCACAGACCCACAGCTAGCGTCACCTGCCTGGGGCTTGGATGTATCAGGTCAAACAAACACCACACACTTCAGCCTCCTCTCTGTCCCCCTATGGTTCCCCAAAGCACCTCCTCTCTCCTAGTTCCCTCTCCCGTCCAGAGCTACACCCTTGTGCCCAGGGCCGAGGTAAACAGCTGCACCTGCCGTAGCGCGTTGGTAGAACTTCACCCAGGGCTGCTCACTGAAAAATCCGTATGCGAGGGAGGGAGGCTGGTCCGTCCTAAAGGAACGGGCCCCCTGTCACGGAGTCCCCGGGCGATGCTCTGGAACTGCTCCCCACAAAGCCGGTCAGGACTTTGGGGAGGCTCCTCTCCCTCAGAGCAGACTGTCTTCAGGGCAAGAAGCTCACACGGCTTCACCTCCTGGGTCTGAACTTGGAGCATTCAGCATATGCCCCTCCGTGCGCTTCCCACAGCGAGTCCGCCCGGGCGGGGTCCTGGGGAAGCCAGAGGGTCCTGCACCCCCACTTCGCAGTCAGACGTGGCTCTCAGCCAGCCAGGAAAACAGAGGTTTATTAGATGACAGGAACACGGTCTAAATCAGAGCTTGTAGGTACAGCGAACGGGACCCCTCAGCCGGGTCCATTCTGGGGCACAGCGAGCCAGACACCCACGTCTGCCCTCACTCCTAGTCCCCAGACAGCTCCAAACTGAAACCCCCTGCAGCCCCTCCTTTCTGGCCTTTGTCTCTTTCCTGGGCCAGGAGGTCACCTGATCTCTTTGTTCACCTTTAGCTATCCCCTTGCAAGGGGGGAAGGGCCCTGGCCATTTGTTGCTAGGAGACAGATTGTCGGCCATTTATGCACACTGGAGACTTAAAAAATGCATAGGGGAAACTGAGGCACCCACACAGTATTCAGAGGAAACATTAAGAACAGTCCCACTTCGTCACACCCCCTAAGGAACATCTCAGCTAAGATCTGAATGGAGCAGGGAGGTTCCCAGGGATCGTCTGGCTCACTCCTGCATGAGCGAATACGCGTGAAGGACGCTTGCTCGACTGCTGCCTTTGCTGTATCTGCTCTGGGCAGAGAGGACTTAAGTCTCCAGACATATTGCCAGCACTACTCACAAACATCTTCAGGTGCCTGGCACAGACCAAGCCGTCCCCGCCGTTATTCCCCGGGCCACAGACGATCAGCACCGTGGGTGGGCTTTTGGTGAAGGAGCTGGGCGGATAGGCCTGGGGGCGGGGAGAAAAGAACAGGCTTCGGTAAACAGCACAACAGGCCATTCGTAGAAACACAGGGGTAGCAGGGATCGGAGCCCTGTAACCGACCACAGACAGATGCGCCGATAACGCCACCTCCAAGGTAGCTGTGCTGCTTGCCAAAAGCCTGGATAACAATGCACGCTGTCACGCTGTCATGCTGCCTAGCTGGCGGCCTACACCCCAGAGGTGGCTGCATTCCAGTGGCCTGCATGCGCACGTGTGAGAGAGAGATGATCCTGCTGTGTTTAGTCTCGTGCTCTGGGATGGCAGATACAGCCTTATAAACCCGGGAAGCTGCGTCCCAGGGCAAACTGATCTAAGAACCTCATTTACAACGCTGGGTCCCCTGGATCGATCACTTGCAGGAGCTGCAAAGGGCCACGCCGCTGCCTTCCGGCCCTGCACAGAGCTCCCTCCCCTCCCTGGAAGGTCATGGCTGGATCAGGACGGGCGGGGCTCCCCGAGAGCAGGGGGAACCCGGGTGTGCAGTGCTCACCTTGGCAATGGCCGTCGCACAGCTCAGCCCCGCCAGCTCCATGAGTTGGTCGACGCTGAACTTGTACTCCGTGAAGAGCTCTTGATCGATGGCTTGTGCTTCCTCCTGGCTGAGAGGAGACGCAAACGACATGAGCCACTGGGCGTGTGTGATTGAACGGCTCGTCTTCGCGGCCGTTAGCACAGGTGCTGCCTCTCAGCAGCTAACACGACCACCCGGCTCACACCGCCACTCGAGAGCAGCTAGTCCTCCAGTACCGTCCCGCAATTCCCCCCGGGCAGCCCGAAAGGACAGGCAAGATCCCCCACAAGGCACTGGGAAAGAATTCGGGGAGCAGCTCAGCTCCCTGCAGCGCTAAGGAGCCCAGCAGACTTTGCACCACCCATGAGCGAGCAGCGCCCGCGTGGCCAAGGGTTATTTTGCACTGTTGCTGCTCTCACTTCAGCGAGGCTGACTCGAGAGGAGTCGCAGATCACTCCAGCCCAGGGGTCGGCAACCTTTGAGAAGTGGTGTGCCCGTCTGCCGGCTCCTGCCAGCCGGGGTCCCGGCCGCTGGCCCCGCTCAGCCCGCTGCCGGCCCGGGGTTCCGTCCATCCAGGCCGGCAGCGGGCTGAGCGGGGCCGGCGGCCGGGACCCCAGCTGGCAGCAGAGTGCCACTAAAAATCAGCTCACATGCCGCCTTTGGCAGGCGTGCCGCCGATTGCTGACCCCTGCTCCAGCTAATTCTGAAGTGAAGCCAGGCCGTAAGTTACACATGTAACAGCTCCAACATCCCAATCCCCGCAAGTATCATCCACCATCCCTGGCTCACTCGCAATCTCTCCTGTTTTACATCCTGCCTCTCTTCCTCGGGATCTCCACCATCAAACGTCTTGACAGTGCTGGGGTGTGCCGAGCGCAGTGGTTCTCAAAGTTTGGTAGTGGTAACCCCTTTCACATAGCAAGCTTCTGAGTGCGACCCCCCTTATAAATTAAAAACACTTTTTTATATATTAACACCATTATAAATGCTGGAGGCAATGCGGGATTTGGGGTGGAGGCTGACAGCTCACGACCTCCAATAACCTCACGACCCCCTGAGGGGTCCTGACCCCCAGTTTGAGAACCCCTGGCCTAGCGTTTCCTGACTGGCTCTTGCTAAGATCAGCGGCCCGTAGGAATAACAGAGCTGGTTGGAAATCTTCCAACAGAACGTTTTTCTGTTGGGAAAAATGCTGTTTCAGAGACACCGGAGTATTCTGTGGGAACGTACTGACGCCGATATTTTGCCTGGGAAGTGATCAAAGCATTTCCTTTGAACTTTACCCTTTCCACTTTTATATGAAAACGTACAAATTGAATCAAATGTTTGTGGGAACTCAAAATGTTTCAAGGAGGGCCACAGGAAATATTTTGGAATATTTCCTTTTGCAAAAAAAGGCCAAGATTTCTATTTGGGTTAAAAACGAAGTCTTGGCATTTCCCGTGGGATACGAATTCCATGTATTGACCAAATCGAATTAACAACCCCCCGCGGGAACACGCACATCTGTTTCCTTCACGGGACGCCAGATTTGCCACGCCAGATCAGAGCACTGATTCACCGACGCTCGTGAAGTTTTGCACCTCCAGCCTGACCGTGTCATAATCACTGATCCAGCCATTCCAGCCACCTGTCTCTGGCCCTGCCAGCCCTGACCGCTTGACTCTGGAAATCAGATCAGCATCTTGTCCCTGGCAGCGGTCGGGGTTCAGAAGGTGGTGGAACGCCCGTGCTAAATGCCACACGTACCGAGGTGTGTGTCGAATCCCGTCCTAACCCCGCCGAGATCCAGGTGCTGCTCCGGGTACCCGGATGCTCAGCGTTTACATTCCCTCTCATCACAGCAATAAGCTGCTCCAGGGAGCCACTGTCTCAAGGGCATCGCCCCTCTCAGGTGACGAAGGCACCCAAAGGTCAGATGGGCTAGTCTAGGCCTTCTCTGTCCCCCCAGTGCTGAAGCCAGGCCACTGATCTGCAGGGAGCTTTAGTGCCTCAGGGCTGGGAGTTTGTTTTACCAAACTGTAAAGGCAAAGGCAATTTAAGAAGGCAGGGAGCGGGGGTTACGTGGGGCCCAGGGGTGGGGACGGCGAGAGAATCACACTGCACAGGTGCAAGCGGGTGTTTTCATCCTCCGAGTCTCTATATTTTAAATTAATTTAAAGACTTTTTCTCTCCACTTAGCAACGACCTATAGACACCCCCTCCCCTCCTCTCAGTCCCTGACAAATGGGCTATTCCCCATCCCCGAAAGGTGCCCCAGGTCCCTGCAGAACCCCCCACTACCCTCCCTCCTTTCCCCATCCCCTGCAGTCCAACCACCTCCCTCAGCTCCTCTCCTGGTGCCCTGCAGCACCCCCTCCCCCTCCAGCCCCATTCCCCCCCTCTCCCCTACAGCCCCCATTTCCCCTCTCCTTCCCTGCAGCCCCCCTCCCTACAGCCCCCCATTTCCCCCTCTCCTCCTTCAGCCCTATTTCCCCTCTCCTCTGTTGCAGTCCCCTCCCCCTACAGCCCCCATTTCCCCTCTCCTTCCCTGCAGCCTATTTCCCCCCTCTCCCCCTTCAGCCCTCTCCCCCTACAGCTCCCCATTTCCCCCCTCTCCTCCTTCAGCCCTCTCCCCCTACAGCCCCATTTCCCCTCTCCTCTGCTGCAGCCCCCTCCCCCGGCTCCCCTACAGCCCCCTACCCCTCCTCCACTGCAGCCCCCCCTTTCCCCTACACCCCCCCTTTCCTATCTCCTCCCAGCAGCCCCCTCTCCCGATTTTCCCTCCCCAGTCCTTTCCCCTACAGCCCCCCCATTTCCCCACCGCCCCCTCGGCGGGGGCAGGCCCGGGGGGCTACCTGAGGTGCGTGACCCCGCTGCGCCCCGGGTTCTGCATGGCGCTGCCGCTGCGCCCCCGGCCTGCGCCCCAGGCCCCCGCAGGAGACACCCGCTGCACCGGGCAGCGCCCCCCGCCCGCCGCCGCCAGCCGGGAGCCCGAGGAGACCAGCAGGCCGAGCCCCAGCAGCGCCCTGAGCCCGGACATCCAGCTCCGGCGGCAGCCGCCCAGCCCAGCTCCGCTCCGCTCCGCCCCGGAGCGCACGGAGCAGGCGCTGCGCACAGGCGCCCCGGCGTGGGGGTGGATCCCGGAGCCAGGGAGTGGAGCCGGGCCTTCCTCCGGTCTCTGCATCCCCTCTGGGCACTGCAACCCACCCCTCTGGGACCATGCAGCCCCCTCGGGCTCTGCAAAGCCCGCTGAAGAGACAGGCCCCACCGGCAGCGCCTGACTCGTCCTCTGAATCGACCAGCGCCTCTGAATATACCAGCCTCTCCGCCTCTGAATCGACCAGCCCCTCTGAATATACCAGCCTCTCCGCCTCTGAATCGACCAGCCCCTCTGAATATACCAGCCCCTCAACCTCTGAATCGACCAGCCCCTCTGAATATACCAGCCTCTCCGCCTCTGAATCGACCAGCCCTTCATCCTCTGAATATACCAGCCCTTCTGAATATACCAGCCCCTCCTCAGCCTCTGAATATACCAGCCCTTCTGAATATACTAGCCTCTCAGCCTCTGAATATACCAACCCTTCTGAATATACCAGCCCCTCTGAACATGCCAGTCCCTCAACCTCAGCCTATGGATATACGTCTGAATATACCAGTTCCTTTGCCTCCGGATATGCAAGCTCCCCTGCTGCCAGGAATACAAACACACCTGAACATGCAAGCCCTGGTCTCTCTGGGTATGCAACCTCTGGATATGGGAGCCCTGCTGCCCGTGGATACAAAAACCGCTCCACAACTGGCTATTCTAAGTCTCTGGATATGGGAAATCCATCTGAATATGGGAACCTGTCCACCCTAGACTATGAAACCCCTGCAAAACACACAGGGCCTGTGAGGCTCAGCCCGTGTAATGCCCTCAGAAGGTGCAAGGGGGATTGTATGTGCTGGAGTGATAAGAAAAAGCAATAAAGACCCAATGGAATAGATGTGTGACCCTTTAAAGGGCAGGTGTCTTACGGCTTGGCATCTTGTGTGTGCTTAAACTCGGGTTTGACTCAGACTGCGCCCTTTTGAGCAAATGAAAAAATATTTCTAGAGAGCCTGATTGAAATGTTAAAGGGGACATTGTCAGGGTTACAGAAATGATGTAGTAACTAAAAGCCACAAATATCCTATACGTGGGTGCCAGTAATGCTTAAGATTATTAAAACAGAGTTGTAAAACCATCTAATTCACTTTCCACCGCAGGTGTGGTTTGCTTTATTTTCTTGCTCTTCAATGCAAATGGAAACAGACTAAGGCCCCGTTGCTGCAGGCAGATCCTACGGTGGTGAGGTTGTGCATGGATGGATCGAACGATTATCATTTGTATCAAGGTACCACATAGAGGCCCTGACCAAGATCAGGGCTGCATTGTGTTGGGTGCTCACTAGATGCATAGTCAGAGACGCACCATGGCCCACTCTTCCCATTTTACAGAAGGGAGCTGACGCAGAGAGAGATTAAGTGATTTTCTCAAGGTCACCCAGGGAGACAGTGTCAGAGCCAGGCCTTGAACCTACATCACCTGAGTCCCAGGTCAACCTCTTAACCACAAGGTTAGGATTAGGTTTTAGGAGATCATCCCTGCAACTTGTTTTGTGCAGGACACCTTTGTGATGTCAATGAGACTCCAGATCTTCTACTGGGACCCCATATCTGGGGCTTAGTCAGTTTCACTTCTGTTTCTAGCCAGTGTCTTGTCAGTTTCACCTCCCTGAATGCCACCTGCTGTAGGAAAAGGCTGCGGTGTTTGAGTTGCAGGGGACTGTTCACATCCAAGCACAATAGAAGTTATACAAATAAAAATAAATTCTATGTTAATTTAGGGTTTGTAAAACTTTTTTTTTAAACAACCCTTGTATTTATGTCAGCTGACAGGGCCTGATGTACTGAAACCAATTGGCTTCAATGGCCTGTTTTGGCTCAGGCCCTGAACGTCTTATGAAATCACACCTTGCGATGACCCAAGAACTAATAACCTGAATCCGAACCTTCTGGAACCTTTGAGGGTGAGAGAATTCAAAAATCCCAATTCTGTGGTTTCTAACCACCGCTAAACCACATAGAGTGAAACGCCTTCGTTCGATGAGAGAGATCCTTTAATCATGGCCTTAGGAGAGAACTCAAATGAGGATGTTCCCTCTCCAAAGCCATGATCCTACAAGCACGTGGGTGACTTTATTCTTGTGCGTAGTCCCCCTAAAGTCCCTGGGATCGTTCATGCAAGTAAAGTCACACACGTGTTTAAACGTTTGCAGGACTGGGGCCTTTATGCATGAAATGTTAAGGTTCTTCAACAAGTCAATGAGTAGTTAGAGCCTGTACCTATTGAGATCCAGGAAGTGGGCGGGCTTCCACTGCTAAAGGACCCCCACCCATCCTAAGGGGAGGATCTACAAGACCCGGAAACCAACTAAGTTCGGGGGACAACTAATGTAATGACAAGGACAGGAGTGTGGTCAAAGGGTCAAAAGAAGGGAACCTGACGGGGACACCGAGCAGAGAACCTCGGACAGCGCCCACTGCTCCTCAAAGGTGTCAAGGGAGCCAGTGGACGCCACCCAGAGGAACTCTGCCCGGATACGTGAACGGACAAAGGGCAGTCACCCTGCTCCAGCTCAGGAAGAGTTCAAAGCTGGCCCTTGGCGGGGGGGCTGAAAGCAGCCGAGGGAGGCTGATTGGGTAGACAGCTACAGGTGTGGCCACACCCAATTAGGGTCCAGCTGGCCCTGATAAAAGGGCTGGGAGCTAGGCAGGGGGAGTCTTACTCCAGTGGTGGAGTGGGAAGGGCCTGGTTAGAGAAGGGTATCTCAAATAGAGCAGTGCTGGGGAACCCTGGCCAGGCGAGTCCCCAGGCGGAAGCCGTGCTAAAAGGGCCTGTGGTGGTACTGAGGGTGCAGCCAGGCCAGGAATCGGCAGCAGGTCCAACCCTCTTGCCAATGATGAGCAGCCATTTCAGACTTCAGTTTGCCCCTCAGAAAAGATGCTAGATGAATACTGGCAGTTGGTCACTGAGGCAAGGGGGGCTTTGGGGAATTGGGCTTCCCTGGGGAGGATTTCTTAGTGTGGGGGCACTGCTGTGGGGCAATACCCCAGAGAAGGGGCACCGTGGGCTGGGAGGGATGTGGGGTGAACTAAAGGGTAGTACCTGAAGAAAGGGAGAAGCAAGCAGCAGCAAATGAGACGCTGGCCAGCAGGAGGCGCTCTAAAGCTGAAAGAGCTAATTCCCAGACCAACCAGCAGGAGGTTCTCTGCCGGTGAGTGCACCACCTTGCCACAGAGCCTGATGCACCACCGTCCTGCATCATGTGCAATCATTCACACCAGTGCAAAGCAGGTGAAAAACACGATCAAATCTGAGGGTAGATTTTACTCTATTTTCTCTGTGGGTAAAATTTTGCCCCTGTGCAAAGGGCCATGTGCCTAAGGGGGTTAAGTAGGATGTAAGTGGTGTGTTTCACCAGGACTTGGTAGTGCTTAGATCCCACGCACGGGGGGGGGGGGGATTTCACCTGGATTTAGTACTTCATAGATCCCACGCACAGAGGTGTATTTCATAAGGATTTTGTGGTGCATAGATCTCACACACAGGGGGTGCACCTCACCTCTGGTGAGCGCTTGTAGTGTGCAGGGTGCCAAGTAACATCCAGCAGAAAGGAGGACACACAAAAGTTCTGACATCTTGTACAAAATACAGATTTATTCATAATAATATTTTACAGCAAGAAACAGCAACCAAAAGAATGTGAATTTAAAGCAGATGTTGCTGTGAATGCCACTTTGAGAACGAAAAAAGCTATTGCTAACTTTATTATTTGTGTTATGGTCACGGCTCAAGCCTCCAACTGAGATCAAAGGCCCATTGTGCTAGGAGCTGTACACACACACACACACGGTGAGACACAGCCTCTGCCCTGAAGAGCTAACAATCTAAGGCCCTGCTCCTGCACCTTTACTTGTTTATATTGGACCAAACCCCAGAGTCCTCACTCAGTCGAGTTTCCCAGTGAGGTTTTTCCTGAGTAAGGACTGCAGGATTTGGTTACTCTGTTGGTAACGGTTTCCACTGAGTACCCAAGAATGAGATACCATCTCAGCCCACTCCTTCCTCGTAGGCATCTGTTCCACCCTCCTATCCTTTACCCTAGTCCCCTTTATCGAGTGCTAGTGGTGCCTTGACTCAGAAGGCTTCACAGTCCCATCTGAGGATCCTACTGCATGACCTAAGAGTGGTACCCACAGTAGAGGAGTGTGGGTCTCTGTCTTCTTGCAGTGGCTGACCCAGAGAAGTGGTTAAGAGTCTACTACAGCTGCCAGCTAAGGGAGTTACTCCTTTAGCTCAAGTGCTGAAGGCTCATGATTTCAGGGCCTGATCTTAAGCCAGTGGAAGTTTGCACTGGCCCCACTGTGACCCAGGAAACGGGGTGTGTGTGTGTGTGTGTGTGTGTGTGTCATGAAATCAGCAGCCCTTGGCTTTCCAGAGTCCAGTGACCAAGGGCCAAACTCAGAGGTGGTGTAAATTAGACCGTCTCCCACTAACCGGGGCTCCCTTATATGCATTGACCAGGAGCATCTTGGTTTATCTTACATGCAGCAGAGGTTACAGACAGGAGAGATCATTGCTATTTCCAACAGAGTAACGCCTGGGCAAGAAGTGGTACCTAGCCAAGGTGCCTTTGAAGCAGACCTGTTATAGATAGTAAAATACAGCACCCCATTGGAGAGCAGCTTACAGCCAAACGATTGCAAAGCAACGTCCAGTGACGACTGATTGCCAGTTATTTGTAGTGTGCAAAGTCAAACAGCAGTAGAGAGGGAGGGAGGAAAGACATATTTGCATTTTATTATGTGTAAGCCATTGCACTCGGGAGCTCTATCCTGACCCCATGGTGCAAGCTGCTGTACAAAACGACGCTCCCTGCCCCAAAGCGTTTATCATCTAAATTTGCATCGTGCATTTGTAATGTCAAGAAGGACCTCCATGGTCATCTCGTCTGGCTAATACACGGCTGGGGGATTGCGCTCGGCCACTCCTATGCTGAGCCCGACGACTTGTGGAAAGACATCCTGTCTCGTGTCTCAGGCGAGATGAGCTGGGGATTCGGCAAGATGGAGGTTGCGCCAGAGGGCGAGGGGTGCAGAGGAGAAGGCCCTTGCACCAGTGGTGGAGGGACAGAGAGGAGGACGGTGCCTTGAAGAGGTTGTGGGGAAGTCTGTGGAGGGCTTTGTAGACCGAGAAGGGTAAATGTGCCCTGCACCCTGCTATGACTCAATGTCTAAGCATCCCTGGTTTACTCAGAGCAGAGCAAAGCCAAGCCGCTGTAATTTACCATCACATGAGCATGCACATTATGGACTCGAACCTGCGTCTCCTTTGCTGTTGCCAGGGCTCCGGTCTCTCGCCAGGGAGACATCCAGCTGGGTTGGCAGCAGCTCTACGAGGGGAGCAAACACGAGGGGAGCGATTAACGCTGTTTTTTAGCTGTGACGCAGGGCGAGGAGTTGCAGTGACTCCGCACGCCGCCGGGGGATCGGACAGGTGAGCTGGCTGGGCAGCGGATTCCATTAGCTAGCAGCTCTAGTTTCTCTTTCCAAGCTCCCACCGCTAGGCCACAGTTCTTCCAGCTCTACTCAGTACCCGAGCAATGGCCTTATTTCCTCGCTGGGGTGCTGCAGAGAAGTTGGTGGGGTGAATTCAGGGCGTGATCCCAACCCAACTCCCAATGGACCTACTCCCGACAAACGATCCCGCCCCCATGGCCTGGGAACTGTTCCCACTGCAGCATCACCTACCGCTCCAGGGTCCTCGTTCTCAGTCGGAGGGTTTCATAGTCGTGAGGGCCTGTGAAATCTGATGGAAAAGAGCAACACTCAGCAACGCCCCAAGCGGAAACATTTACTTCCAGTCGATACAAAATATTGGCCGTTTGCTTGTATTTTACAGCTCGGTTTCAGTGGAAGACAATGGAGTTATACCAGGCATGAACCTGGCCCGATAAACATAGGAACGGCTGAATGGATCACTCCCAACGTCCACCTAGTCCATATCCTGTCTGTGACAGTGGCCAGCAGCGTGGTCAGAGGAAGAACCTTCCATTTCTTTAGGTCTTCAGAGCAAGCCTGTCTGCCTGCCTGGAAGAGACACGTTAGCCAAACCCAAGTTCTTGGGCTCAGTTCTGCAGTGATTGGGTGGAATTTAAAGGCCTGTGTTATATGATCTGACCTTAAACTCTATGAATTAAACTCTGTGCAACTCCTGCAGTAGGCAGATGGGGGATTATCTGCCCCCTACGTAGATCTCATGCTGATTTTTAATAGTTAGGTCTCAGTTTCAGCCCTGGAGCATGAGAGATGCCTTCCAGAATTTGCTGTCATTAATTATGAAAGCTCCGTCTACTCCTGATACCCACATAAATGTCCAATCCCTGATACGCACTTAATCCAAACCAGTGGATCATGTCTAATGACCACACACAGCCCCCATGGCCCGTTTTAAGGACTTATTCAGGAATAAGAGAACCCAGGTCTCTTGACCCCCAGTTCAGCGCTCTATCCACTGGACCGGGCTGCCTCTGATTTGGTAGCATACTATGCACACTTTGCATAGGCGTGCATGCAGAATTGCCGCCCACAAGTGTTCAAAATGCATCGGCCCTCCTAAAATCATGAAATTTATCATAATAATTAAAAATAAAAGTTAGGATTGTTTTTATTTAGTCTGGGGTATTTTTATCCTCTAGTGTTACACTCAATTCACATTTTCAAAGCTTTTCTTTGCAATCACAAGGGCTAGAACCATTTAAAAAGAACCCTGAGAGCTGAGATTCTCATGCAATCACCTGACTCCAGCAGCTGGGGCTTGAAGAAAAACCCCAAATATCGTAAGACTCGCAGAGCTTTGGACATGCTGCAAAGGACGGCACAAGGTGCAGGCCGATGGGGAATCAGGACCTAGCATTGCTTTCTTTATAAGGCATCAATATTTTGTTTTCCTGCTTACTTTTCGATGAATGATGGCAATTCCCATTCTGCAGGCAGTTGTAGTAGAAAGAATCCGGGTGCAGGTAAGTGTTGTTCAAATTGCTAGGCGAACAAAGCAAAGGCACTTTGATATGACAGTGACAGGATAATCAGAAACATGACAGGCTAAATTAGAGTCTGGATTTTCATTTCCACAAGGGCCCCTTTACATTGCTCTGGCAATGAGAATTCACACCTAGATCTTCATGTCTAATTCATAAACAAAAAGACTCCATAGAACCCGAGCTACCGTTGCTCTCATTGGTCCTTTCTCATGTTCCAAACCATACAAAATTCAGAAATACCAAGGCAAGGTTTAATTGTCAATTTCTCTGTGTAATGAAACATTAAGATCCATATATTTTCCCTTTACTAAATCACACCCAGCCTTGACTCCAATCAGCATACCAATTACAATTATTTTTACACCTGCTTGGAGTTAATATTATGTATCTTTTAGCTAATAGGATGTGTAATTTTAGCTAATATCAATTCTAATTATTTTTATACCTATTTTAGCCCTTCATTTTGAGTCTTATAAGGGTGGGAACTATCGGTGCTTAAAGTGGGATGAAAAAAGTGTGTGTGTGGGGGGGTCTATTGCCGTCTGGGAGCACCCGCTTTGCTAAAATGGTGCTTGAAGTCCACCGCATGGTGACCCTGCTCTATTATTATTATATTTTGGCTGGGTCTGTGACCCCTCTGACCCTCTCCCCACACATGTTAAGCACTAGTAACTACTCTATTACAATCACTGTTATTGTATTTTTCCATCAGTGTTGTGATGGGTGATCTAGGCATTTGCTGCCCCCCACTGGAGGCCCCACTGCCTTGGTGCAACCCCCTCGAAGAAGGCATCCTTTTGAAGAAAAAGAGCAGTGAATTCAGACCTCCAAGAACTGCCTAGAGAGGCCACCCAGGGTCAGTTGCAGGCAGGACCAACCAGAATTGGTCCTCCACTGGCTAGAAAGGCCAGGAGCAAGCAAAAGCCAATCAGAGCCCAGCATGGAAGAGAAAAAGGGCTAGTTGCTTCTTCTAGGGGAACTGGGACAGGGAAGGAAGGATCTCTCCTGGGTTTTTTTAACCCAAGAAACCAGTCCCAAGATAGGCCCCTAACCATCTTCCTAGTCATCCTTTCCCTGGCCACTGGAGAGTTCTGCTCCCCATAGTGGGGAATAGAACCCAGGAGACCAGACTCCATGTCCATTGCACTAAGTAGCAGACAACACTGGGGTTACCTTTGACTTCACCATTTTGGTTGGGCCCTTGAAGGACTCTAGTTCTTATGTTATGAAATTAAAGGCCAGGCGGCCAGCTTGAGTTACATAGATTTATTGCTATTAAATTAAGGCACGCTTGCTTTGCAAGATGGCTCAGGTGAACCCGGGACAAGTGGATCTACAATTATGGATAAGATTAACATACAACGTGAACGCCAAACTTTGTGTCTCTCCCAGAGGCCGCCTCAGTCTTCTTGTGAAATTTGTATCATGATACAACATCACTGAGCGTCTTTATGGTTACACCACTTCATGATGCAATGGCCCGGTGCACCATCGGTGTTACAACTTCCTGCTGCACTTTTACCAGCCAGCACCTATTTTGAGTCTCTCTTTTACCCACCTATTAGCCTGAGGCTGATTGTGATATTCTGGAGCCGTGACAGCGCTGTTGAGCTCCTCGCAGCGATTGTGTGCTAGCACCGGGCGGCAGCGTGGGTCTCTGTGATCTAGCGGGGATCCTTCCGCCAGGACCGTTGTCTGTGCCGCACCCACCTCTTCAAAGAAGAAGTTTAAATGGTTAGGTAATAATTATAATTAATACTATAATGCCTATCTGATATATTGCATTTTTCATCAGCAGAACTCAAAGCGCCTTACAAAAGAGGTCAGTATCATTATCCCCATTATACTGATGGGGAAACCGAGGCACAAAGCGGGGAAGTGATTTGCCCAAGATCACCCAGCAGGCCAGTAGCAGAGCTGGTAACAGAACCCAGGAATCCTGTGCCTAAGGCCCTGAATTTGGGACTCAGGAGAGCTGGGTACAAATCCTGGCTCTGACACAGACTCCTTGTGTGACCTTGAGCAGGTCCCTTATTTTTCTCTGTGCTGTAACTTGCCATTTGTAAAATGGAGATAATCCTTTAGAGAGACAAGGTGGGTGAGGGAATAGCTTTTATTGGCCCAGCTTCGGTTGGGGAGAGAGACAAGCTTTCGAGCCACACAGAGCTCTTCTTCAGGTCTGGGAAAGGAACTCCGAGCATCACAGCAAAATGCCAGATGGAACAGATTTGCTTGGCATAAGTAGTTAGCTCAGATTGTAAGGGACCATTCAAGGCAGAGTGGCCCATTAAAACTTCTGCAGTCACGGGATAAAAAGAGGAGGTTAGTGGGTTACAGATGATTGCAATAAGCCATAAATCCAGTGTCTCTGTTCAGTCCATGGTTTTCTGTGTCGCGCGGAGTTAGGAATTTAAGCTCCCAGACTCGTCTTTGGAAAGTGTTGGGCAGGTTTCCTTTGAGAATGAGAACATTTAGTGATAGACAGCGATCGCTCTATAGCTGTGACCCTGGGAGTACCTTTTCCAGACCTGAAGAAGAGCTCTGGGTAAGCTCGAAAACTGGTCTCTCTCACCACCAGCAGTTGGTCCCATAAAAGCTATGACCTCCCCGACCTTGTCTCTCTAACATCCTGGGACCGACCCGGGTACCACGACACTCCATAGCATAATCCTCTGTCATTGAGACATACATTCTTCAGGGCTGGGATTGCCTGTGCAGCAGTGTGTAGGAGGTCAGACTAGATGATCATGCTGGTCCCTTCTGACCTTCAAGTCTATGAGAACAGGGCTTAGATCTCAGCTGGGACCTCGACACATCGCTGTAGTACCAAACCTTTTTCTAATCCGTCCAGCCTCTTACCTGAAGCCCTGTAACTTGGTCCCTGCAGAGGCTGCCTCCCAGTGTGCTGCGAGCCACCCCGGGCCCTTCGCTGTGGAGAAGGTCTCGGATGCATTGAAGCACCCAGCACGGACTCATATTGCTCCTCTGTGGTCTCTGCTGGGGGGATGTGCTTCACGAAGGACCTGTTATAGCCACAGAGAAGAAGGTTGGCTTTCTGGTTAAGGTACTGACCGCGTCCAACAAGACGGGAAAGGAAGGGGAAAGACCCCCACAGTGATGGGTGTCATGTTGTCCATGCTGTCCTACTTACGAATTGCTTCCCTGGTGCAATGCCTGGGGCCTGTTCCCATGCCCCTGGTGCAGTGCTGTGGAAAACCGGACCTGACTGGAGGTCTGTAACTTCCCAGGAAAGTGTTTCTGAGCAGAGAGATAGAGAGTGTCAGTGCCTAGAAACTACAGCATTGGGAGTGATAGAGATCCACCTTGATGGGATAGATAGATAGATAGATAGATAGATAGATAGATGGGTGTGTATAGGGATAGATAGATGATGATGGGTGTGAATAGGGATAGATAGATGATGATGGGTGTGTATAGGGATAGATAGATGATGAGGGTGTGTATAGGGATAGATAGATGTGTGTCGATAGGATAGATAGATAGATCGATCTCAGGAAAAGCAAACAAACCTCTTTTCCTTATTTAGCGACACAGAGCAGATTGGCCACTTGAGCTGTATTGTCTCTTGTTACCAGGGCCGGCTCCAGGCACCAGCCCAGCAAGCAGGTGCTTGGGGCGGCCAAGGAGAAGGGGCGGCACGTCGGGCTGTTCGGTGGCGGGTCCCTCTCGGAGGGAAGCACCTGCCGCCAAATTCCCACGGAAGAAGAAAGCGGCGTGGTGGAGCTGCCGCCGGAGTGCCGCCGATCACAATTGCGATCGCGGCCTTTTTTTTTTTTTTTTCCCCCGACGCTTGGGGCGGCAAAAACCCTGGTCCTGCTTGTTACTTGACCTCTCTGATCTGGTCGCACTTTTCACCCGCATAAGTGCACAAGGAGCAGGGCAGGGAAGAATCAGGCCCTGAGTATTTACCCTCTAGTTTTCTCCACTAACAATCCAGACCCCCTGCAGAACCACCATGGTGAACGTCAGCGTTACGAGCCATTACTGTCAAATAGGTCAGACTAGATGACCACGCTGGTCCCTTCTGGCCTTATAGGCTAAGACGCCATGTTGAATTTCTCACCGTGGGGCGCACTAGAAGGAAGTTCTCAGGGACATTCAAAGATCCCTTTAGCCTTCATGGAATCACAGGCATTAAAGATGGAAAAGAACTAGGGCCGACCTCTCTTCTCTGTTACAGCTATGCAAGCTTATACGCCAATGGGCTTACACGGCTGTAACTGCGAGCAGGTTTTGCATTAAATCCCCTAGTCAACCTCCTCCTCCACATTCTGGCTTGGCCAAGGTAGGGGTGTTTGCTGAAGCCTATTCTGCAGCACCGTGAGATTTTTTCGGCCTTGGTTCCATAGATTCCTACAGGACTGTTCAGGTGAGTCAGGGATGCAAACCTAAAGGGACCAAGTGACGAGGCTTCCCCGACATCCCTAGCAGGACAATTTCATTAACTGTTCACCAGGGGGCCCATAAGGCTTGGGCGGGGGCGGTAAACGCTGCAGCAAAACGCTGCATTGGCTCTCTTGCCGAATAACGCAGAGTTCAGTGGATTTAAAAAACCCGCCGAGGACAGAATCAAAGACGTGATGTGGGGCAGAGATACTCACAACAGCCTTGTTCCAGCTGCAGCTGCGTCCCCTGCCCGACGGCGACACGCGAGGAAGGACGGCCCAGTGGTTAGGGCACTAGCCTGGCACTTACAAGACCTGGATCCAGTTCCCTGCACTGCCTGTGGGTTGCTCTGACCTATTCTCTGCTACCTGTGGTCCCAGGGAAGTCGAGAGAAGAGCTGGAGCACAGCGCTCTCTGGCCACGCCCCACTCTGCCCCCATTGGTGGCGTCATGTTGTGCCCTTATGCCTTAGCTCTGCCCCACCAGGAGGTTTTCAGGGGGCAGTTTTGGCCAACTTTATGCCCCCACAGCAGCATACGGAGCCTTTGTGCATGTGAGAATCCAGCCTCAAGAACGTGCCAGGGTCAGCCATGCAGACCCACCAGGGACCGCTGCTCTAACCCCCCTGCGCCTGCTGATCACGCAGAGCAGGGCTAATTTCGGTCCCCAGAGGCCAAGGGGAAGCCGTTCATGACTCACCAGAGGGGCAGCCGCGGCTATCCCGCCCCCGTGGGAGAAGCGGCTGTTCAGAGAGAGCTGGTACTGGATGGCATCCGTGAGCTTGTTCACGATCCGCTCCTGGGCCGTTTCGGGGACATCCTGCCGGGAAGTGGAAGAGGGCCCCGTTAGACCGAACGGGGAGAAGGGGTGGCCGGTGCTACAATCCCGCACGTGGGCGTGGGTCGCCTGTCTGACTGAATCGTGGCATGGTCGTGCTTTTGAACTGCTTGGCCCCCCCACGTTGCTTTCCTAGCAAGGATCCCAAATTAAACGGGAAGCGTTCGGATGAATGAATAATATCCTAGTTCACCCAGGCCTGAGGCTCTCCAAGAACTTTACAAGCCTAATTAAAGCCTCACACCCTCCCCCACTGATCAATCTGGTCAGTATCATTCGTTCCATTTTACCCCGGGAGGTCTCCATTTGCGAAGGCCGTAGCAGGCGCGTCCTCCCAGCCGTCACTTGAGGAGGAGAGACCAGCTCATTACGAGGGCGCAGACACCCCGAATTGCACAGCCAGGGCCTTCATCCTGACAGACGGTGGCCACTGGCTTTAGGGTCAGGCTTGGTGGGGTGTGGATTGGTCTACGCACCCAGACGCCTTACCCGGCACTTAGAGAGCAACGTTAGTGCCTCCTTGTAATGCAGGATCGCCTTCTCGGGGTCTCCTAAGTGGAAGCGGGCTGCTCCTAGCCCTTCACAAGCCTGCCACTGCCCAGGGAGGTCATCTGGACACAGAGGGGGAGACTGGGTCAGAAGAGAGAGCAGGAGGGTCAGACGTCATCCCAGCATTCCCTAGCGCTGTGCCAGCCCATTCCTGCAGTGCCGACCCCGAGGGACCGCTTCTTTTAGCTTCCTTGGCGGCCTCCCACCTAAAGGCTGATCCAGCCTGAATCTGCTTAGCTTGGGAGGGCTGCTTAGATAACAGAACTGAGCGGCGCAGGCTGGTACCAGGCCCCCAACACGCTCCTAGGGAGAAAAACCTGCCCACGGACTAGGGCTGGCGAACGCCCCATCCTGAGCCGCGGCTCCCCTTACCCGAATCCTTGAAGGCCTGCATGGCGTGCAGATAGTTCTCCCCCGCGGCCTCGTGGTCCCCCAGCTGGCTGAATGCATAGGCCAAGTTGCCAAAACACTGCCCTTGAGCCTTTCTGTTCCCCAGCATACCTGGAAACAGCCAAAGACATCCCCTTTCAGAGCTGGTGTCACGCTGAGTACGTCCACACTGCAATCGGGAGGTGTGTCTGAACTGGCTTTGATCTAGCCAGCTCAAGGAACATTACAGGCTGTGCGCTGGAGTATGCTGCACCCTGGGCATAAACTTTAGTGGGGAAAAAAAAACCCACTTCTTCAGATGCATGGAGAAGTGGGTTTTTTACCCACGAAAGCTTATGCCCTAACAAATCTGTTAGTCTTTAAGGTGCCACCGGACTCCTCATTGTTTTAGCAGGCAGCCCAGGGTCCCCTGTGCCACTGTTTGGCACATGGCCTTGTGGGACTTTTTTGCAGTGAATTTGCGGCTGCCACCAAAGGGTAGGTCTATACTTACCTCCAGGTCCGGCGGTAAGCAATCGATCTTCTGGGATCGATTTATCGCGTCTTGTTTAGACGCGATAAATCGATCCCGGAAGTGCTCGCCGTCGACGCCGGTTCTCCTGCTCCGCGAGAGGAGTACGCGGAGTCGACGGGGGAGCCTGCCTGCCGCGTGTGGACCCGCGGTAAGTACCTTGTAGTTCGAACTAAGGTACTTCGACTTCAGCTACGTTATTCACGTAGCTGAAGTTGCGTATCTTAGTTCGAACTGGGGGGTTAGTATGGACCAGCCCCAAGAGGCAAACCAAAGTAGCTCCTACTTCATACGAAACACTGGCTTTCACCTTTGTGCGCCCATGTGTGTTACAATGAAAAATATGTTTTGTAAATGAGTCTGTCTGAGCCTCCAAATGGGGAATAGTGGCTCACCAAGTCAGTTAATTAATTCTCTTGCATAAAGCTATCTTGAAGTTAAGTATCATTCATTGTGAGTGAAGTATCCTTCTAATAATCTAATCAACTAAAGACGCTGCTGTTTGAAAAACTGCCAGGTCCTACAAGAAGTCCACCAGTCCTGAAACATCTTTGGAAGTTAAAGCATGAAGGACTTGCTGTACATAAAAACAGGCTATATATTTCCCTCAACAGATACAGCACCACTTTGCTGGCTCAAAGTGAAAATTATTTAACCCCAATTGTCTGAAGAACATATTTTAAAGTTTCTTACTTATTTTAAAGTTTCTTATTGTGGGATAGCAACCTTCCCCATGGGAAATTGTGGGAGCTTGAGGTCAAGTTCCCATAATTCCCTTTGCTGCATCCCAAGGATACTTTTTTAAAATCACAACACCTATTTAACTTGTGGAACTCACTGCTACAAGACAGCAAGGACATGATTTTAAAAAGGACTAGGCATTTATCATCCATGATTACATTAGACAAGATAAAGAAATTATTTGGATTATAAACGCTCATGCTTCAGCGTATGTGTCTCATCACTAACTGAATGGGCTAAGAAGAGACTTTCTGGTTATTCTATAATTGTCCACTAGGATTTTTTTCATCTTTCTCTGACCCAGTGGCTCCTAGCCATGGGTCAGATCCCCTGTGGCAATTTATGTGTTCCTAAGATGTGCTGTGAGCGTCCGCTGTGTCCCATTGTTTGCATGTCAAAGAGAAAGGCACATGGGGGGAGGAGAGGGATGCTGTTTAATTTGGTTTCAGAGTAGCATCCGAAGAAGTGGGCTGTAGTCCACGAAAGCTTATGCTCTAATAAATTTGTTAGTCTCTAAGGTGCCACAAGTACTCCTGTTCTTTTTGTTTAATTTGGGGTATCCAAGACTGGTGACATCCCCCTCCATGCTGAATCAGTAGCCGGGGGTCTGTGCTGTTAATGGATGGAAGACAAAATGTTATTGGTCTCCTTCCTCTTGTTATAGTCTAGCGCCCCTGAAAGGTTCTAGACTGAGAGGCCCAGAGACCAAAATTCTCCCTTTAGTGTTTGCGAAAGGTTTTAGATGGAGAGTTCCAGAGCCTTCGATTCCAGCGCCCTGCGTTCTCCAGCCCTGCTCCCACCTACCGTGCAGCAAAGCCGCTCTCTGGTGGAACCCCAGAGCCACGCTGAAGTTCTCCAAGGTGTTGTGGGCAGCGCCCAGGTTCTGCAGCACCACGGCTTCCTTGCGCCGGTCTGCCTGGTCGGCTTGGCAGAGCGGGAGGGCTTTCTCGAAGCTTTCGGCTGCCAGGGAGAAGACCTTGAGCTGGGCATAACTGAGGCCCATGTCGTTGTAGACCTTGCCTGTAGAGTGAGAGAGAACTGGGTTGTGGTCTTGGATTCTCGGATGAAAGGTCGGAAGACAAGAGAAAGGGGCAAGAACTCAATCTTCATATGCATGACTAAGTGAGCAGCATAAACCAAATGACCTTATCGGAGAAGTTAAGAGTCGGGAACGACCGACTGGCCCATCCCACAGGGCGCTGGATCGTTCCTCACAGTCCAAACATCCCTGACTACCCATCATTGGACTACTCTACCCATGGCCCATTGGGTCCTCTGCTGAAAGGAGACAACTAACGTCAACTTTGTTGGGGGCTTTTGTGATGTGGTGAGTGGCCTGTGGAGCATTCAGACCCACCAAGCCCTGTTGGGTAGAGGCCCCCAAGCAGCTACTCCCTTCTCGTCTCTTCTGGTCTGTATACTGCTGGTTGGACTGCAGTGGTTTTCACTCCTTACCAACCTTGTTATTCTTTCCGTATGAAAAGAGCCACTATGTACTTTTGGCCTAAACAACTTTGGTTTTAGACAAAGGAGAGAGAAAGAGAAAGAGAGAGAGAAAGTGCAGGCACAGTGTGCGTGTCTCCTTCACAACAAGCTCCATCTGGACGGGACACAAAGTGGCAGCAGAGAGCTCCGAGGAATTTACTGTGCCATACAAAGGAAACCGCATTCGCACCAGCTGCACAGATCTGTACCGGGTTTGATCGGTAGCCTGCGGCCTCCATGAGGGAGAGCACAGCATGTGTGTCTCCTCTGTAACATGCTGCGCTTCAAGGGACGCAAAATGGCGCCTGCCTCCAGCTAGGTTCCTAGGAATGTAAAAGGGCCTTACAAAGAAAGGACAGTGCCGTGCACTACAGGCTTGTTATAGGCTTGAATCACTGAGCTGCAGCTCGCATGGCTTGGTAGTCCCAAGTCACCCAGCCTTACCCAGCAAGACTTTGTTTGGGATGTTCTCACACAGCAGCTGGCATTTGTTCAGCACCTCGACGATCTCCCCTGCCCCGTACCACCGGCTCTGCAGCATGTAATTACTGGCCTCAGCCAGGGCCACCACGGCACCTTCTAGCTTCTCAGCCGCGGTGTAGGCCTGCCCGGCTTCCTGGAAACACTGGGCTGCCCGTGAAGGGTCCTGCATCCCCAAGTAACAGTAGCCCATCTTCATATAGGCGCCGGCCTGGTTGCCAGCCTGGGCTGGGCAGTAGTGACCCAAGGCCTTGCGGAAATACTCCAGGGCCTTGGGGAAGTCCTGTAGCCCCTCATGGGCCACCCCCATGTTAAAGTAAAGGTCCCCCAAGTGCTCCCCAGCCTCTCCCTCCTTGGGCTGGGACTTGAGTAGGAACTCCAGGCCCTTTTCTGGCTTCCCGGTCTCCACGTAGGCCGCCCCCAGGTTGAAAGCACAGGCCTTCTGGACCTGCACGCTCGGGATTTCCAATGACAAGAGAAAGGCCTTCTTGAAGCAAGCCAAGGCCTCCTGAGCCTCCCCAAGCAACAGGGCCTGGTGGCCTGCCTTGGTGAGGTCTTTGATCTCAGCTTGGCTCTTCAGAGGCTCGTCTCCTCCTTCCCCTGCCTCCGCAGGGGCGTTGGCCTTCTCCTTCCATTTCTTCTTCTTCTTCTTGGAGGCCAGAGGTGCGGGGGGATCCGGGTCCACAGGGGGAGCTTCTGACCCAGTGGATTCTACCGAAGCCATCAACAGTTCTGGCGATGATGGGACATGGAGGGCCTGCAGAAGACAAGAGTAGGGGTCACACAGATGGGTCCATACAGGGACTGATCCAACATGGGAGGCTTCCCACTGACTACAATGGCTGTTGAATCAGACCCAAAAGTAACATTAGGTTAGCCTCTAGTCAGGCCACTGCTCCGGTCCACCATTATCCCCCCCTCACATCTGCGTGGGATATTTCATTGCACGGCTGCGACCACCAGCATTTCCTTGCAGGCAATCGCTCCCACAAGCAGCACGTGAGCAGGGAAAGGTCCAACACGAGCCAATGGCCGGAAGTTGAAGCTAGACCAATTCAGACTGGAAATCAGGTGTAAATTTTTGACAGAGAGGGTAATTAGCCACTGGAACAATTTTCCAAGGGTCGTGGTGAAGTCCCCATTGCTGACGATTTTAAAATCAGGACTGGATGTTTTCCTAAAAGCTCTGCTCTAGGAATTATTTTGGGGAAGTTCTCTGGCCTGGGTTACGCAGGAGGGCAGAGAAGATGATCACAATGCTCCCTTCTGGAATCTACACATCGATGTATACAAGGGCGCAGATTTAACACCAAGCTCCAAGAGCAGCCAACGTCTAATTCATGGGAGATGGGAGGAATTTTTCCCAGGCGTGGGGTCATGGAGCAAAGAGGGGATTATCCCATAGCAGCCTTCTGCTGGCTTCCTCTAAAGCCGTCGGGATTAGAGACAGGATAGTGGCTAGATGGACCACTGGTCTGGTCAATTCCTAAGTTCCTAGCCATGATGGCTAATATTTTGCCATGCACCACTCTGCCGCTGCTGCATATGGGGCCAAATGCAGCCCCTGGGATACTTGATGTATTTCTGAAAGCCCCTGGTGATGACATGTCAATCTCAGCTTTCATTTTTTCAAAAATAATAAAGTTTCTAGCTCTTACGGTTGAAGAGAAAAAGCTTGAAAACATGACCTGGGCACAGCCCTCGAGACTATTAAAAAAAAAAAATCCAAAAGGGAAATAAAAAGAGCCTAAAATGTATTATTTAAAATCTCATGATTTCGGGGGAGGCTTTTGAATTCTTGGGGTTGGTCTTACTGCTGTTAAACCAGCAGAGTTTACACCACAGCGGAGTTATCCGTGCATCGTCTCTTGGGTGCCCTGTTAGCATTTCCTGCCTATCCACGTGCGGCGTAGCTGAGCGAGGGTGGCTGCAGGGACGTCCCGACTTCGACGCGTTTAAAATTTCCATCAGACCTGCAAGCATCCTACTGACCTGCCAGGGCTCAGGTACCAGGGTGATTGGGAAACGTGTCGAAGTGGAGTTAGCAACAGCATTGAAGGGGCTGGGAGATAAATTAAAAGAACTAAATAGACCTAGATTGGCTAGATGAAGACTCAAATGGAGAGACAACGGTGATTGTTTACACTGTGTGCTGGGCCTCATTCTCATTCGCATTACAGCCCCTTTACCCCGCTCTGGCAGCGCGAAGGGGCAACTCTTTATACTGCCAAAGTGATGGAAAGGGGAATCAGAGCCCTAATTACACAGAACATCAACATTCTGAGTTCCTCAATCTCTCTGCTCCCTCTGCAGATTCCTACTTGAATCGGGGTGAGGAGTGGCCTGCGGAGGACAAGAGGAGGGATGTAGCTAACGGAACAGTAGCTGAGGGAATATAGCCAGCTGGTTAATAGTCCTGCCTCTGCCACTGACTTGCCCTGTGACATTGGGTGAGTCACTTAACTTCGCTGGGGTAGATTTTCGAAAGACACACCTTCCATAGGATTTAGGTGCCTAAAGGCCATGAAAAATCTCCCTCTCTGAGCCTCAGCTTTCTCAGCTGCAAACCAGGAATAATCCATAACATTACTTACCTAATGCTTCATGATTGTTTGCAGAGCGCGCCCAAGATCTTAGATGGCAGGTGCAGATCACGGTTCTGATGCCAAAACGCCGGTGGTCTCAAAGAAGCATCATGAATGGTTCTCAGGAATGTCTAAGGCTCCTTGAAATCATCCTTAGGCCAGACTGCTTGAATGCCCAACCTTGCAACACCCCAGAAAGTTGGAGCTGCGTGCTCTGATCAGACCAGCTCCCCGTGAATTACACTCAAGCCTGCAACAGGCTGCTTGTTCCTCTGAGTGTTAAGAAAGCGCTAAGGAAATGAGCGAAACCCAGGCAGGTGCACCTGCATGGTTCTATTGAGCTCTGGGGTTCTTCCTCCCGGGAATGCTTCCCCATGATGGCCCTTAGGGCTCTAGTTTCTTCTCAATCGCCTTCCCATTGCTTGAGACACATTGGGCCGCCCCATGGCAACCAGCTGCAACAATGCTGGGCCCTCCCCCGCTGGGGCATGTCACCTGACGGATGGTTAAATCGGCCTCTCAGGGCTCGCGGTTGGGGTGGGTGTTTATGAATCACACTTTATGGATTTTAAAGGAATAAAAGGTGGGTGAATAGAGCACAGGTGGAAGGTGCCAGATCAAACGCCCTGGCGACTGGAGTCTTCTTTATCCACAGATACCTGGTATCGCTTCCCCCGCACACTCTTCATGTAGGGTGACCAGATAGAAAGTGTGAAAAATCAGGACAGGGTGGGGGGTAATAGGCACCTACATAAGAAAAAGCCCCGACTGTCCCTATAAAATCGGGACATCTGGTCACCCTATCTTCAGTCTTGGAGCCTCTAGTAAGGCAGCCAGCAAAGGGACCCGTTAGTAACAATGAGAGTGGCTGGTTTGGTGGATGGCTGAGACCCACCAAACTCACTGCACATAAGCCACCGATTTGCCATCAGATGCTGCTGCTCCCCCGCATTTCTGTGGGAGTTTTAGCCAGACCCAACTGTTGTTCTGGTGCCACTGGCGGGGGAGCTGGTAGCACTTCTGCTGAGACACCATCCGCTGCATATCTCTGTCTCCTGCCACAGTCAAAGGGCATGAAGAGATTTGCACACCAGTCGAGCTACGTGATCATCAGCACCTAGAAACTCCAACTGAAATCAGAGCCCATTGGGCAAGGCACAGCACTGTCTGTAAACACAGTGAGAGACAAGTTCCTGAACCAAAGAGCTTACGCTCTATAAGACAAGACAAAGGGTTGGTGGGGAAACTGAGGCACGGAGCTGCAGTGAGTTGGCCACGGTCACCCAGCAAGTCATTGTCAGAGTCAGGAATGACCCCAAATCTCTGGAGCCCCAGGCCACTGGACCACACTGCCTCTCAGTCTAACTGTGGGGCTATTCTCTTCTCCTGCCTTAGTTTTGGCACCCTGACTTCCAGCACTGGGCAGGGTGTGTGGGGGTTAGGGATATACCCACAGCCCTTGCAGCTGCTGGGTATTTTAGTGTGCAAGCCAACAGGATTAGCATGGGTCACTTCATCAGTGGCTTTTGCAGGGTGCTTTGTAAAACAAAGGAGGCCAACTCCTTGCTCCAGCTCATTCAAATAGGGACATGATGCATGACAGGTGCTGAAGACATGCCCCTTTCCAAGGAGCTGCAAAGAATCACAGGCAAGAGTTAGCCCTGGTGTAACTCCCAGGGCTCCAGTGGAATTGACCCCAGGGATGGATCTGGCCCTGCATTCCGCATTGTTCCAGGTCATGGTTGCATGAACAGCACAAAACAACCTGACAAAGCAACACAATCACTTGCCTCCACTGACAACATTGGAGCCCTTTAGGGTGTATTAAGAGAGTGAACATAACACCCTGCCATTCTCACTTGTGCACCTCAGTCATTAATTAATTAAACCTCACAACACCCTTGGGAGGTGGGTGAAGTCTGTAAGGAACTGGCTAGCATGTGCGGTCTGTTGCCCTCTACTGGGTGGAATCAGAAGGGCTCCGTTGTGTGTCACAGGCCCTATACTGCTAAGAGCTAATGAAGATTCTCTTGTAGTTCAAGTGGCAGGGGTCTGTGTGCTTGGAACAGAGGGGGCACATGTTTCAGTTCTGTCCTGGCAAACTTCTGAATGACCCCCATGGGGCCCAGCATTAGTGACAGCTTTGAAGAATTAAGTGGCAGTGACTGTGATATCGTCTCATCCTTCCCATTTCACAGATGGGAAAACTGAGGCACAGAAAGGAGAAGAGAATTGCCCACAGTCAGATAGTGAGTCAGTCCTGACTCTCAAGACCCCACTCTTCTCCCACTGGTGGGGACAGAACCCAGGAGTCCTGACTCTCAAGACCCCACTCTTCTCCCTTGGTGGGGACAGAACCCAGGAGTCCTGACTCTCAAGACCCCACTCTTCTCCCTTGGTGGGGACAGAACCCAGGAGTCTTGCTGTCCATTCTTCCTGCTCCACCCACTAGATCTGCTTCTTCTCTGTTGGTTTATATTAGGGGTGCAGATGTCAGAGGCTGGGGGAGAGAGAGGTCTCTATTCCCCACTAATGTAAGGGCTGTTTTGCAGGGGACTCAAACGCCAATGAGAGAGGCAGTGGCAGCAAATGCATTACGCAAGCTACTCCACCCGGCCTGCCTTGGCGAGACAGCCCCCCATTCCCTGCACACTACGGGGCTACTGAGAGCGGGGGTTGGGACAGTCTGTTTGCCCCTTTCTAGCACTTCTCCCCCCACCCTCCTCACACATCCGATGGGCTGCAGGGCATGGGGCAGGGGGGTGCAGTGGGGAAAAGGAGTAGATGTGGAGCCTGGTTTGTGGAGCCAGGCAGCAGATGAGCCCCTGGGGAGGGGAGTGCAAAACTACCCCCACCCCCAGCCTGTAGCCAGTGCCCAGGGTACCCCCAAGCTGTGCCCTGGGACCTCCCTGTCCAGGGGAACCCCCCAGCTGTGCCCAGGAACCCCCCTGTGTCCAGGGGAACTCCCCACCCCCCTGTGTCCGGGGGACCCCCCTGGGCAGGGCTCATGGAACCCCTCCCCCCTCTGTGCCCCCCCCCAGGACTACATTCCCCAGCCTCCCCCGCGGCGCAGCCACGTGTCCCGGAGCAGCTGGGGGAGGACTGGAGGCGGCGGGAGATTCAAATCCCGACTCCCGAGCCGGGCGGAGCCGAGCTGAGCGGGATGGAGCCGGCGGCGGAGTCCGGGCCGGCCCGGGCGGGCTGTGAGTGAGACCGGGCGGGCAGGGGCGTGGGGAATGGACAGACAGACATTGGTGTGGGGCAGGGGAGGAGAGGGGACGAGCAGCCAGGCTGGTGGACGGGAGCAGTGGGGGGCTGCAGACAGGCTGGGGGGTGGCGGAAGGGGGCAGACAGGCTGAGGGGACAGACTGATGGATAGGAGCGGTGGGGAGTTGCTGGGATGGACAGACAGACAGACAGACATTGGTGTGGGGCAGGGGAGGAGAGGGGACGAGCAGCCAGGCTGGTGGATGGGAGCAGTGGGGGGCTGCAGACAGAAAGGGGTGTGTGGCGGAAGGGGGCAGACAGGCTGGGGGGATAGACTGATGGATAGGAGCGGTGGGGAGTTGCTGGGATGGACAGACAGACAGACATTGGTGTGGGGCAGGGGAGGAGAGGGGACGAGCAGCCAGGCTGATGGACGGGAGCAGAGGGGGGCTGCAGACAGAAAGGGGTGTGGTGGAAGGGACAGACAGACAGACACCGGGTAGTGGCTGGTGGATGCAGACAGGTGGGGACGGACAATGGGTCGGAGATGGGATGGGGGAACCGATGGGTGTAGGGATGTGTGGTCCCGACCCTGGGGCAGAAAGGAGACAGGTCTGGGTGTGCAGGAGGGGGCAGAGAGACACAGTGGGGGAGGGGCCAATGACCTGACTGTAGATAGGGCACAGATAATGGGGAGGTGCAGGGATTGGTGCCAGGCGGACGGACGGACAGACAGGCAGGCTGGGATCAGGCAGAGAGCTGGGTTTGGACCAGCCAGCCAGTGGTGTGTGGGCAGGGCTTGAGAGGGTGGACAGGATAAACAGTGTCCAGGATGGACAATCAGAAAGGAATCTGGCGGTGGGGGGAAGAGTGCTGGCCCTGAGATGGACAGAGTGATGGTTGCCAGTTAGGGTACAGTGTGTGGGTGTTGTTGGGTGATTCCTGTTTCTACTTTAGAGTCAGGCGATGATCTAGTGGTCAGTTTGGAACTTGGGACACCCATGGACAAATCCTTCCTCTGCCACAGACCCCCTGTGTGACTTTGGGCAAGTCACTTAGTTGCTCTGAGGCTCCGTTTCCCCATCTGTAAAATGGGGACAATAGTACTCCATGGGGGTGATGAGAGAATAAGAATTGTGAGGTGCTTGGATACTATGGTAATGGGGCCAAAAGGAGAGGAGCATAGGGGTAATATTTTGTGGGTAGGATGTCAGTGAGGGCAGAGCCCTTTCAGATGGTAGCCAATACACAGCGGGAGCCAGGAGACGGGAGGGAAGGGCTGGCAAGTTTTCTAGGGAATATGCCAAAACCCTGATTTTAGAGAGAGAGAGAGTGTGTGTCTGATTTTGTCTCTGGGAAGATTTGAACACACAAGGCGTGTGTGAGTGCAAAAAATACAAATCTGGCTGAAGATGTTTTAAATATGACCTATGGACTGAGTACAACAGGGACTTGTTGTTAACCCAGCTCGCGCACTCTCTCTCTTTTGGCTGGCCATGCAGCGAGGGAAGGGAAAACCAGATCTGTTTACATGTGAAAAAGAAAGTAGAGCATAATAGCCGTTAGATGGAAAGGGTTATTAAGTCATGTCCTAGTCCATCCCCCCTCTAGCAATGTACAACTGTTCTCTTCAGTGTGTGGCCTCAGCCAACTTGTGATTCATAACTGTAGATGAAGTCACTTCAGTTGGTGTTTTCCATGGTGGGACTAGAAGCTTTGGCTTTTAATTTCTGCTAATGCAAAACTAGTCAGGACATGGCACTGGGGCAGAGTCTGTGCTGTGGCCACTGAAACATAAAATTCATACTGTTGTTGGTGTTAAAAAGTAATTTTGCATAAATCTAAGAGCTGAAATGGGACAGTGCGGTTCGAAATACATATTTCAAAACTCTGATTTTTGGCAAACACCTTTTTGCTTTTGCAACCGACCGTTTTAAAAAATTGTCCTCCACCACCGATGCTGTGGTTCGGTCTTGCATTTCCTTCAGTGTGGACAGTGAGAAGAGACAGGCTGACTTCACTTTCAGGTTCTCGTGCATTAGCACGGTGGTGCAAAATATGTGCTGCAAACGGCGCGGGAGAGGTTGAGAGGCTATTGGCATTGGAAATCCTGGGAATATTTTTACTAAGTTTTCTGAAATCTTAATTGAAATATTTTAATTAATTATTATTATTAACAAAACCTAAACTCTTGTCCACGCTTGACCTGGCCTCGTCTCTCTCGAATTGTCCAGATGAGCGTCTCACCGCCGATGAGATGGATGAGCAGAGGAGACAGAATGTCGCCTATCAATATCTCTGTCGCTTAGAAGAAGCGAAACGGTGAGCGAGCATGGAAGGATGACTGATTCATTAGAGGGGCCCTGTCGGGGTTATGTTGACCTACCTTAACTGTCTCCTGTATAACAGGTTTTGCCTTCTAAATCAAACACCGGGCGTTTGGGCTTCTGAAGTCACTCCTTTTCCCCCAGTGTTGGCATGCATGGGCTGATCTGTTTCTTGACAAGTGGGTCGTGACCCCTAGGGGAGGGGGGAAGGTACATGAAAGGCAATGGGGAGGACTGAGGAGGAGTAACTGAAAACTGCTTACAATCTAAGCAAAGAAAATCTTGTGCACCCTGATCCTTCAAGGTTGTCTTTGCTGTCAGTCTCTCAAAACACACACACACATCCGCTAGATAGGCTTATAGCGATCAGCAATGCCTTTTTTTTTACTCTGACTTTTATAGCAAATGTAAAGGGGGGGCAGGGGTATGACACTTCTTTTTGCCTGTGAATAAAGGGTGGCCAGCCTGAAAAGCCGGAGGCAGTGTTGTTAGACTACCAGCAAACAATAAGTGGAAGCAAAGGGCTCTGAGCATGGGCTCGGGCACAAGTGGATTCTAGTCCCGACTGCTACATTTTCCCCTTACCTTGGGCAGGCCAAGTCACCTCTGTGCCTTGCTGTCTCCTGTCGGTAAAAATGCAGAAACCCAGGAGGAAAAAGCACTATCTGAACAGATGCCAAATATTTGTTCATCATTACACACCTCCGTCTCCTGAAGCCCAACCCGGTGGCTATGCTGTGTCTGGAACGCCCCGTAGGGTTGGTGGGAGACCGACGCTTGAAGTGGTAGCAGCGTCCTGGTCTTGTAACAACAACGGTCTCCCTAACTGGTTTTCCGTCTTCTGTGCCAGATGGATGGAGGCTTGTTTGAACGAGGAGCTGGCCTCCCCTACGGAGCTGGAGGAGAGCTTACGGAACGGGGTCATCCTCGCCAAGCTGGGCCACTGCTTTGCACCCGACGTCGTCCCGCTGAAAAAGATCTATGACCGCGAGCAGAGGCGCTACGAGGTAAAGGAATCGGGTGAAGGGATTTGCTTGGGTTAGAGAGAGTGAGTTTGAGACTGGGACTTTGGAGACCTGGGTTCCAATCCTGGCTCGTTGTGTGGCTTTGGGCAAATAACGGAAACTGCTGGCACCTCTCCAACTGGAGCTGACGGGAACTGCCGATGTGCAAATCAGATCCTCTCTGAAGGAAATGCTGGAAATGAAACTGATGAGAGGCATGAATGAAATGGACCAGCCTATGTTCACTTAATAATCTGAATACCCCCCCCCAAATTAAATGGGGGCATTGTGAAGGTTAATTAGTGCCTATCCAGGTCTATAAAGTGCTGGGTAGCATTATCAACCCATGTAGAGGGGGTATTGATCAGTAGAAGACTGTTTCTCTTCAGATCAAGAGATCCCTGGTTCAGGGCCGTAGCAACAAAGAACGTGGCCCCCTCCGAACATATGTCCGGGCGGGGCCCCTTACAATGCAGAAACTGGAATGCGGTATTTATTTTGCCACTTTTAGGGGTCCCCTTCCTTGCGGGGCCCCCTCTGGTCGGAGGGTACGGAGGGCGCTCGCTACGCCTCTGCCCTGGTTGAAACCTCTGTTGCCATCAAAGATTTTTCGATGCTCAAATACTGTGGTGATGGGTGGCAGAATAAAACTGAAGAGCTCAGCTTTAGAAATGCTGGCCAGGTGGCTCACCTGGATAACCGCATGTGGGGATGCAAGTGCTCACAGCTTGTCGCTCTGTCTCCCTCGTATAAAGTAGAAATGGACCCCCCGAAGAGGCCAGTGCACACGCTAATGAGCCGCTTAAATCCTCAAAATGGGGCTTTAAAATCTTGAAGTCTGGGAGTTTCAAAAGCCTGCCCCGCTGGCTTAACTCGGCACCCGTTCAAATCAATGAGAGTTTTACTGCTCATGAAAATCCCGCTTTCAGCACACTTTTCTGTAAAGGGGTGAATTTCAACCCATTCATGCATAGAAGCTGTTACACTGCCAGAGGGCTGTAAAAAGCCGGGGGGTAGGGCGGGGGGAGCTTGGTGTGAATAAGAATTAAGGCCCCTAATAGGTTTAACCTAAATCCACTCTGCTAGGTCCAATGACTTTCTCTTAAACGCTCAATTTCTCTTAACACCGCAACATTTTAGCCACAGTATGCAACTGGCATGTGAGATGCTGCCTGTGTTGGATGTGTGACAGGTTTGTTATATGTGACCTAAAACGGAATTTATTTACTCTAGCAATTAATTTCTTTGCTGACACAGTGGCATGTGGGTTCCATCCCCCTTTTGTAAGCTTCCATCCCTGCTGCTTATTAAATCTCTGCACCTTGTTCCAGTCACATGGCGTGAATGGGAATCTAGGCAGGAAAAAAGGCTCCTTTTTAAAGGTTGGTGGTGATTCATTCTAGACCCTGAGGGCCTTTGAAGTCCCCTTCTATTTCCAACATATCAAAGACTGTCTTGGATGAATGCAGCCCATGTGTCTGTTTCTGATACATAATGTGACGGTGCATAACACATAACGAATCCAGAGCTGTAGGGGCCGATCCTGTTCCCACTGAAGTCAATGGGAAAATCTTTATTGGGTAGATGCTTTTGAATCCGTTCGTATCCTCTTAGATTAACTAACCCTACTGCATGAACGAAGGCTCTCATTTTGCAAAGAGTTAAGCACGTGCTTAATTTGACTCATGTGAGCAGAGTTATTCAGGTGTGTGAGTCTCTGGAGGATCTGGCCCTATATGAATGTTTGTAAAATTGTTTGAAAAGCAGAACATTTCAAAAGAAAATGAAATTAACACATGAGTCTCTGATCCTGCAATGCAACCGATCGGTTGATTTCAATGGGTTATTTACTGTGCTTAAAGTTCAGCTGTTTTGGGGGTAGGGACTATGGTTATCTTTTTGTTCAGTGTTTGTACACTGCCTAGCACAATGGGGCTCTGGTCCTTGACTGAAGCTCCTATGTGCTACTGCAGTACGTACAAACAAATAAGTCTCTGCAGGATTGGGGCCTTGAATAAAAAATCCTTTAAATTCTAGGTGATGATATTGGTGTGTGCTGCAAGATCTGTCAGATTCCCCTGTGGCTCTCATTTGGCACACGAGCCATTTCTTTGCTATGGGTGAAACTGGCGTTGCATCCTGTGTTGAAGATGGACGGATGGATTTTTTGGGGGCATGATCTGATGCTCCTGACAGAGCTCGCTCCAGACCCCGTCAGTGCAGAGCTGACTGTCCGTCAGGGTCACTGCTGCATCGTTCATGGCCTGTGCTGGCTTAAATGGGTTTGGAAGAACTAGATGTAGCTGTAAAAAGCAACAGAGGGTCCTGTGGCACCTTTAAGACTAACAGAAGTATTGGGAGCATAAGCTTTCATGGGTAAGAACCTCACTTCTTCAGATGTAGCCGGTGCATCTGGTTCAGTGTCCAGGACCAGCGTCACCAGAGAAAGGCGCAAGAAACCCCCTAGTGGGCAACAGTGGCATCACGCAGCCAAAAGGGAAGAGTCGTTCTAATCCCTGGTTAATCTCTCCTTTTTCCAGGCAACTGGACTTCATTTTCGACACACGGATAATATCAACCACTGGCGCGAGGCCATGACCCGCCTGGGGCTTCCTACGGTAATGTATTAGCATCAGCATGTCTGGGCCAAAAGCAGAGCCCGGAAAAGATGAGACGCGCTCTCTGCTTTGATAAAGACGCAGAGCCCTTTCATGTAAGCGGGAGCCACTCGAGTGACTTCACCTAGCCGGGTGTATTATCCACGCCTTGTGGAGTTAAAGGCAGCTGGTCAGGCTAATAAAATCTTCATTTGATACCCTGTGAATGTGAAGGAACCTCCCTTTGTCTCCTGCACAACAGGGGCGTAAAACTTTCTAGAGCACAGTCAGGTCTGCATGAGCGATCCCTTCTCCATCTGTGAGTTACAGTGACTCGAGAGTGGAAGGAGGGGGCGTTAAGGGGTTGCTGCATTAATAGTAGAAGACTAGACGGTTGTACAATCCTGCCAGACGCTCGACAGAGTTGTCTGTTGAATCGTGTTCTCCCCATGGGACCATGTAGAAGCAGCTCCCAACATGGATCAGCATTGGCCCTCCGTGTCAGCAAAGACTGTAATGATAATCCCTAATGCTTCTCCGCTTCAGGTCTTCAAAGCACTTTACAAAGGAGATCGGCATCACTGTCCCCATTTTACAGGTGGGGAAACTGAGAGGCGGGTCAAGGTTACCCAGTAGGTCAGGGCACAACGGGGAATCAAACCCAGGTCTTTTGAGTCTCCAGCCCATGCCTAGCCCCTGTGCTGCCAAACAGTTAAAGCTAATTGGCACTTACATGGGTGCTGTCTGTATTGCCAACAGATCTTTCACCCGGAGACAACGGACATCTACGACAAGAAGAACATGCCCCGGGTGGTCTATTGCATTCATGCTCTGAGGTAAGTGAGAAATCCAGGATGTAACGTGTTAAAGCGTTGCGTCTCTCTGGGATTATAGCTAGGGCCCTACCAAATTCACGGTCCATTTTGGTCAATTTCATGGTCACAGGATTTAAAAAATTGTCAATTTCATGATTTCAGCTATTTAAATTTGAAATTTCATGGTATTCTAATTGTAGGGGTCCTGACCCAAAAAGGAGTTGTTGGAAAGGGGGGTTGCCAGGTTATTGTGTGTGGGGGGGACAGTTTCCGGTACTGCTACCCTTACTTCTGGGCCGCTGCGGGTGGCGGTGCTGCCTTCAGAGCTGGGCAGCAGGAGAGGGGCGGCTGCTGGCCGGGAGCCCAGCTCTGAAGGCAGTGCAGAAGTAAACATGGCAATACCGCGGTTCCCCTAAAATAACCTTGCAACCCCCCCTGCAACTCCCTTATGGGTCAGAGCCCCCCATTTGAGAAACGTTGGTCTCCCCGGTGAAATCTGTGTAGTATAGGGTAAAAGCACACACAAGACCAGATTTCACGATCCGTGACGTGTTTTTCATGGCCATGAATTTGGTAGGGCCCTAGTTGTAGGAACTGAGGAGTTTTTTGCCTGTAGATTTTAATCAATGATACTTGCGCCCTCTGGTGGCTGTTTTATGTTTATCTCCTGAGGCCAGTAATTCTCAGATTTGGGTCCCGATCCTTAAACTCCCATGCACGTGTTTAACTCCATGTCTGATAGACGACTCCCATGCGTGTCGAGTGAGGGCATGTGTGTGTCTCTGTGGGATCTGTGTGACTGGATTTAGGTATCCAATTCTATGCTTAGGCTCCCTGGCCTTTTTTTTTTTTTTCTCCCCCCAGATTGTTCCCCAAAGGTGTTTCACTGCAGCTCCCATTGGCTGCCGTGGGGTGGGGAGTTCGGTGCCTCTGACAATCCAGCCACTTACTCTAGGTGCCACAGACTCTAAATGCCATGACAAAATGTTATAAATATAATCCATGCAAAATATGGGGCATGGGTGTGTGTGTGTGTGTGTGTGTGTGCGCTCACACGCCATGTGCCCCATGCCCCTAAAGCCATTGGGTCTGGGCTGTTTCAGAGCAGAGGGGTGGGGTGATCCCAAAGCCGAGGGGAGAACACCCTGATAGCGTCCCCCACCCTTTTAAGCCAAGGGGGGTTCTGATTGAACACATGTGACTGGCAGAGGGAGGGAGAGATGGGGTCCAGTTTATTTTATTTTCCAAGGTCAAAGCAACCACCTCAGTCTCTCTGGAAGGCAGCAGACAGCCAGTCTGGGTCACAGAGTGCTGGTGTCTGTGCTTTACAAAGGGGTATCGTCCCTGTTTTACAGATGGGGAAACTGAGGCACGGGGAAGGGCTGTGACTTGCCTGAGGTCATACAGTGAGCCAGTCACAGAGCTGGCATTGTAGAACTTTGATTTCCCAGTTCTGTGTTCTAATGACCAGACCACGGAGCTTACTGTGTCATCTACTGTCTGGATTAAAAAACCCTGTAGCGTGTGTGTGTTACCGTGTGTCAGGAAAAAACTGAATTGTTCAATTCATCCATGAAGTGTGTTTGTTTTAAATTTTCAGTTTATACTTGTTTAAGCTGGGGCTGGCTCCGCAGATCCAGGATTTATACGGGAAAGTGAACTTTACAGGTATGGGATGGTAAAGGACAAATCTGGGCTAGTTCCTGGGGGTTTCCTTGTTGACTCGAGCTGATCTGTACTTACTGCTTGTATCTCTGGAATGGTTCTGCGGACGGGATGCTTCCGCAGGCTTTTTATTTATAAGGAGCTTTGTTTAAGCTGAGATACAAAAAAAGTCAATTTTCTATCTCTGTAGCTAACTAAGGAGATCAGTGGCCCATTGTGCCAGGTGCTGTACGTACACATGTTAAGAGACCGTTCCTGCCCTGAACTGTCTAAATAGACATGATGGACAAAGGGTGGGAGCGAAAATAGAAGCCCAGGGAGGGGGAAGTGACTTGCCCAAGGTCACAGGGTAGATCAGTGGCAAAGGTGGGAATAAAACCGAGGTGTCCTGCCCACTGGACCACACTCTCTCATTTGGGAGACTGGCTCTCTGTATGTACCCAATTCAGCGCTGTTGACAAGAGACAGACGCACATGCTGCTGCTGGCTCCGTTAGCTTTTCCCTTTTGGGTCACTGAATGTCTCTTTACCGTATGGCCCTGATTCTGCACCGGATCCCTGTGCACATGTACAGCTCCAGTGAAGCCTGTGGCACTGCATAGGGGGCTCCTGGCGCGGATTAAATTGACTGATGTCCATTGACATCACCTGCCGGTTAGGGTGGGGGTTAAGTCTCTGTACAGTGCCTGGCATCCCCGGGGCCCGTTCCTGCTTGGGGCCTCTGCTTGCCATCCTCACGGTACATAGACATGTCAGAAAGAGTCTGGTGCCGGCCCTGGCCCAAACGGCCGTGTATTCGCTGACTGGGCTTGCTCTGTTCCAGAGGAGGAAATTAACAACATGAAGCGGGAGCTGGAGAAATACGGCCTCCAGATGCCAGCCTTCAGCAAGATCGGCGGGATTCTCGCCAGCGAGCTCTCCGTGGATGAAGCGGCAGGTGATTTTACTCCCTGGGTTGGTTTTCCTGCAGCGGCGCTCGTCTGAGTCCCTTCCTGGGGTCTTTTGGCTTAATCCAGCTCTGTAACCCCTGAATGCGTTTGGCCTCTTTACTGGTCGGTCTAGGTCCGACTCAGCCCAAACCACAGGGCTAATGGTTGTCAAGGGAGAGTTAGGTGCATGCTGCTTAGACCCCCCGACTCCAGAAGAGTGGATCCCGCCTGTGGATCACAACCTTGCCTCCAGTCCGGGAGAGAGGTGGGACCCGTCGGCATCTCCCATTAGCTCCCTGCCTAGCGTGCTGGTTTTTGTGGATCCCGGTCCCAGGTGCCCCTCTCTCCCCCTGCATTGTATAGAGAGCAACCACCTCACCCAGGGTTTGTAGATTCGGGTGACTGTTTTTTTTCCAAGCCCCCTGAAAGCCAGGAGTTGCAACGCTGTGTCCCTGTGTAGATCCGGGCCGCAGATAAATGGAAAGACTCAAATCCTCTCGCTCCAGCCTCTGACCACACGATGCTCTTCTCTCTCTGTCTCTTTCTTGCTGCGTCTGGTCTAGTCCACGCCGCTGTCCTCGCCATCAACGAAGCTGTGGAGAGGGGAGTGGTGGAGCAGACCATGGCGGCCCTGCACAATCCCAGCGCCATGCTGCTCCACTTGCGCGAGAACCTCGCCGCCGTCTACCAGGAGATGCTGTACCAGGTGAAGATGGAGAAAGCTGGCAATGCCAGGAACCGGGTAAGGGCAGAGCCCTCGGTGAAAGGAGAAGCTCCGTTACCTGGTGGTAGTGGTAGGCTCTTATCTTATATGTGGACCACTGCGTTGTGATGTGCATCATGATCGGGGGGGGGGATGCGCTTTGACACCTAAAATTCAGGGCTTGAGTCATCTTCGAAATGGATCAAGGGAAAACGCAGGGCGGGTTTCTCTGCAGCCAGGAAAGGAAGTGGGCCAGATCCTCCAGGAGGGCTGGCCTAAAGCTGTCTGAGCTGGCCACAGGAGGAACGCTGGGTGGGCGGAGCTGGTGGATATGGGGGTGCAGTTGCAGAAAAGGGGTGCGCATCTAGGCCAAGATGTGCAATGGTGGGTGGCTTCTCCCTCTTCTCAGTACCTGCAGGAGAGCCCAGAAAGCGAGGATATTTACGACCGATGTCTGACTCAGGCTGAAATACAAGGGAACATCAACAAAGTCAACGGTGAGCAAAGCAACCGCCCCCCCCCCCCCGACGCTGCTGGAGTAAATACGCTGCTTATTGAGCACGTCCCCTTGGCGTGGGAGATCTGCCCAACACTAACTAGCTCTCCCAAAAGGCTTTGTTTCACGTGAGACCCAGGCTGGGTTCTTCAGTGGGGGCATGGCCTCTGCTCCGGTTGTTTTCAGAGTCCTGGCTCGGAGCACTAGGCAGGGAATCTCTCCCTCCCCATTAGGGGGCAAAGGGTTTCATTTCAGGACATGGTTCCTTCACTGACTTCCCCTGGCACAAAGGGAATCCCTGACGCAGGTAACCTGGGTAAGCTCCTTATAAGAGCTTGTCTACACAGGGGTGGAGACGCTCCTATTCCAGGATGAGTGCCTTTATTGTGAATTAGTTGAACTCCGTTTTGGAAGTGGATTAATCAGGAATAGCTAATCCACTTTAAATTGACAGCCTTATTCCAGATCATCTTTCATGTGTTGACAAGCCCTAATGCATTGCCCCTGGGTGGGTGGCTGGTAGCGGGGATCGAACCCCAAACCTCTGGATTTTTGAAGCCCAAGCCTCTAATACGTGAGCAGTTCTGTTGGCTGAAGTTGGGGCAGGCTCACGTTGGCCTAGTCATCAGTAGAGGTCAATGGAGCGCCACCTTGAGTGGATGTGGCCTAGTGGTTAGCGCACTAGATTGGGATGCCTTAGACCTGGGTTCTATTCTCTCCTCTGCCACCACCCTGCTGGGTGACCTTGGAGAAGGCATGTCCCCCTCTGTGCCTCAGTTTCCCCCGTTGTACAATGAGGATCAAGATACTGACCTCCTTGGCGAAGAGCTTTGAGCTCTACTGACAAGAGCGCTTTGTCACTTGCGTTGCGGGTATGCTAGAAAAATCAAAGCTCGTGGGTCATCAGTAGGGGGCAGAGAGTCGCTCCATCAGCTGGCAGCAGTAGCAGGCTGTTCTCTGTGAGCCATCTGCTATAAGGGGACAGGATGTAGCTAGCATATGGCACAAATATCAACCCGCCCTTTCAAAACGGGCTCCTCGGCAAAGGTCCATCCACGGGACAGCTGACGTTCCAAGCCAGCCAGCGCAGTAAGTGGAGTCTAATCCCGTGCTCTGCCTGAGCCGACCCCCAGGCCTTTTAAATCCTCCCTCGCCAAAGGACGCTGACTCCAGGGCTCCGTGATACCAAGCGCCCCAGGCTAGTGGCTCTCTAGCGGTGTCTCCGTGCCTCTCTTCTAGTGCACGGAGCTCTGGAATACGTGGACGATGCTCTGGAGAGGCAGGACCCTCCAGCCTTGTGCCGGGCCCTGCAGGATCCCGTCCTGGCCCTGCGCGGTGTGCAGCGGGAGAACGCAGCCTGGTACTTGGATCAGCTGAGTACAGATCGGGAGCAGAAAGCACTGGTAAGGCCCAGCAGGGGAAGTAGCCTGCATTCCGGAGCTGGGAGGAAAATTGCAGGGCTAGGAACCAAGTGGTGCTGTGGGATCGAGCCCTAGCAGTCCAGACACCCTGTGCTGGGGCGGGTCTGGATCAAGTAAAAGCCCCATGCTCTAAAGGTTTCCTGTGACACATGGACATTCAGGAAGCCCTGCAGCCGGTCTGCATGTGAGCAACTTCCCGCGGAGGGATGGCAGGCGTGGCCCTGGGAGGGGAGTAGGCTGGCTGGGCCGGTCCCCCTTGTGTGCTAGCTCCTGTTGCTTTCCTCCTTGCAGGAGCTGGGCTACGTGGACTTGCTGGAGCAGGAGGAGGTGCAGGCGGGGATCTACGCAGCCAATGAGAAGGGAGATCAGGAACATGCCAGTAAGTCCTGGCAAGTCCCCCATGCAGTAAAGGGGACTGGTACCGAGCTGGGGGTAGCGAGGGTCGCTGTGAATCTGAGGCCAGATCCAGGCTTCTCGGCCTCTGCCTGATGCATCTGGGGCTTGCTCCAGTTCCTAGTGACCCTCGCCACAAACCCCCTGTAACTGGTACCTTTGCTGGCCGCCTCGCCAGAGAGGCCAATGAATCGTCGAGAGACGCCTGCCCCGCAGGGACTCCCTGTCTCTGTTCTCTTGCTGCATTTTCTCCCGCTCCTGTCTTGGAAATGTTAACGCATTAGTGCCCCAGCCGGAGAGGGTCTGCACATCGTGCTTGGCATCTGGCTGCTATAGGGATGGGGCATGTGCCAGTTGGTAGGTAGAAGGAAGGTCGCTTGCATCACCTCTGGGAGCTCCTGGGGCTTGGGCCATCCCTAACTTGTGTCCCTGCTTACGGGGGACTTTGCCTGGCCCAATGGACCTATCCTGCCCCTGCCTTGCAATGCCGCCCTGTTGCCAAGGCAGCAAAGAGTTGCTAGGGCCAGTCCCGTGCCTGGGCAGAGCGCATCACGCCTGCCCCGAGTCCCCTGTGCAGCAGGCGAGCTGCTCAAAATGCACGTGGTACGGAAGAGTGTCTGGGTTGCAAAGCCCCGCGCAATAAGCAGAATTCAGGCAGCCCGGGCCTGCCTGGGCCCCAGATCTCCGCCCTCCCATGCCCCCGTCGTCCCAAATTCAACACCCCGCGATTATTGCCGCTGAACGGAACTGGGCAGGGCAATTCCTCCGTAGCCCAGAGCCGGGGCTCCAGGAGACCTGTGTCTTCGCTGGCGGGCTGGCAGCAGTGCTCCCCCTAACCCGGCTCCCGTCCGGACACGCAGCGGGGCTGTAACCTCCAGCTGCCGGGGTGGGGTGAAGCTGGAGCTGGACACGCAGCAGGGAGGCAGTCGCTCCGTGCCGCCGGAGGGTTAGTTTTTTGCAGCATGGCCGCTCCCGCTCAAGCGGCGTGAGCTTGGTTTGAGCGCTGCCTTAAGACCAGCCCCGAGTTTCGCCCCCCGGTTAATTTGCCTCGTTTGTCCCGCTGGCGCGCAGTGAGGCAGGCCGTGAGCCGCATCAACGCTTCGATCCGCCGGGGGGAGGCGACGGAGACGGTGCGAGAATTGATGAGCCCCGAGGCCCAGCTCCCCGAGGCATTTCCCTTCGCCGCCCAGCTGTACCAGCACGAGCTGGCCCTGCTACAGCAACACCATCCGCAGGTGAGGAGAGGGCAGCGTCTCTGGGGGCGGGGGAAAGAGGAGAGGTGACAGAGGCTGTCAGACAGTCGGCTCTTTGCTGCTGTCCTGGGGGCCACCTTCACAAGCATGCACTTCCCAGACTGCAGTCCCTGCAGGGGAATCGCTACAGCTCATTGGCCTAGTGCTGAAAGCCCTCGACCGGAGATCTGGCTTCAATCTCTGCCACAGACAGCATGGGACAAGTCTCTCTGTGCCTCAGTTTCCCCCACTGTAAATGGATTCGTGTTGGGAACTGTAGGGATTGGGGGGCAGAAAAGGATCATTGTTGTGTGTGCCCGTCCCCTCCCCGTTTCTGCAGGGTGAGTTGGGGCAGGAGGAACTCTACGTTGCAGTGGAGATGCTCTCGGCCGTGGCGCTGATCGACCGGGCGCTGGAAGCTGGGGACGTCTATGGATTCTGGAGTAGCCTGGTCAGCCCTGCCCTGGGCCTATCTGACATCGAGGATGCAAACGCGCAGCGGTAATTGGGTGGATCTGAGTGGGAATGATGCCCCGTGTACCGATTCCAGTGGAGTGAATTGGCCGTGAATGAGTTAAAAGGCTTTGTGGCATTTAAAAATGGCAGAGCCAGGCCCCTGACGGTTGTGAGGTGGGTCGAGCTGGGTGGGGAGATTTCTGAGGCTGTGAAACAGGACCTGCAGGAACTCACGACCTGAATGGTTAAACTCTGTCTGGAACCTGGTTCTGTTACCAGATGTCATCTGGGGCTGGCTGCAGATCTTCCCAGGAGCCACCACTTGTACCCAGCTTCCTGAAGGTCAGGTGGCAAGAGAGGGATCTGTTGCTGGAGGAGAAAACAATGTTGGTCTTATGCTAAGAGAGTTAGGGGTGAATTTGTGTATGGAAGTCAGGACTCCTGGGTTCTATTCCTGCCTGTGGCAGGAGGGGGGATGGTCTGGGTGGCCAAAGCCGGGACTAAGAGTCGGAACTGCTGGGTTCCATTCTTAGCTATGTTATTGGCTCAACGCGTGACCTTCACTGCTCTGTGCCTCAGTTTCCCCATTTTGGAAACCAAGAGACTGCCTCCTGCGGCGGGGCGTTTTGACGTTTTCTGACGGCGTTTTTCAGACCCTTGGATGTGGGACCTTTCAGTCCCGTGCTAAGCACTGGCTCTGTCTTTCCCCTTTCAGCTATTTTGACGACTTGTTGAAACTGAAGCACCGGTCTGGGAAAGCCGGGGTTGCGTTCCTGAGCTGGAACGACATCCAGGCCTGCGTGAACAGCGCCAACTCGGCGGTGCAAGACGAAAACGACAGTAAGTGGCTTTTATCCCTGAGCGTTGGGGCTCCGTGAGCTGTAGTGAGCTCAGAATCACCGGCTGTCTTTGTTTTTCCTGGCGCAGAGATCCTCGCCATCAGACTGATCAACGAGGCGCTGGCGCAGGACGACCCGGAGAAGACGCTCACTGCTCTGCTGCTGCCCTCTGCCGGGTTCTCTGCCGTGACTCTCCCGGGAGCGAGGCGTTACCACCATGTCCTGACCGCTGCGCTAAGGCAGAAAGCCCAGGTAAGACTGTCGGTGTTGCGTTGCCGAGACCAGCTGGCTAGGGAAGGGGTGGAAGGGCTGTTGCTTGGGACACGTTAAAACCAGCGTGTGGCAGAAAACGATCCAGCTGGATAGATGTGCGGGACGGGGGAGAACTGTCATTCCAAGGCTGGGTTAAGGATTCACATTCCTGGCAGTGGCCTTTGGCCCTGGGTTAGAAGCCCAAAGTCACAGGGCCACATGGGGAATTTCTGCCTTTTTGTCTCCAGGCTCTTGCCTGCGTCTTGCTCCACCTGGTTCCAAAAGGTCCCATTGCATTTTCCACAAGAGCCCTGGGGCCTTGAAGCCAAATTCCTCCCACTCCGTTAAATGCTGTTTTTGCCAGCCGCCCCTTCCCCAGAGGTGGCTGCATCTCCGTGACGGAAGCACTGCCTCTGCGTGCGGTTTGTAAAGATTCCCCGGCTCATCCCTTTGTGCCTCCTGTCTCCTAGGTGACCGGAGATGATGGAGCAGCTCTCTGGTGGGAGGAGATCCAACAAGGGGTTTCCAAGGCCAATCAGGACACGGAGGCAGCCAGGAGACGTAAGGGCTCGGACGCTAACTTGGAGCAGGTTCAAGCTGGCGCTGAAGCCCGGCGCTCTTTCGTTACTCCCCTGCGTGCCAAGAAATGCAGGACGGGGAGAGACTCTCGAGCCCGGTGATGCTGGTCTTTCCACCCTCCCTGAATCTCCAGGGCTAGCGAGATACTCTCCGCCGAGGTCTTAAGGGATCAGGGTAGGCCCTGCGAGATGAGCTAGGCTCGGGGGTTCTGGGATGCTGACCCATAACCTGCGGCAGTGAACGCCACTGAACGCTGTGCCAGTGGCGATCCTTCCGAGACGTCTTGCTTCTCCCCTGATCCTCCGATTGCCATCTGACTTGGAGCAGCCCCTAGGAACCTGTTCTCTGTACCATCTGGAATCCACATTCCCCAGGGGCGTAAAGGGTTAATCTCCTTCTCCAAAGCTTCATGCAACCGGCTGCCAACTACTCACTGGGAATGGCTGTTGGAAAGGTGGACTGGGCTGCCGATGCAGCAGGAACTCGGCTGTTGGAAGCTTGGAGACCACTGGCCGTGGTGACCTGCTTCCAGGCAGGCCTGGACCAAGCTGGGCTCGCTGTGGGGTGTGTGGATGAATGCACCCTCTTCCTTTTCTAACCCCTTCCTTCCCCGTCTCTTCCCATAGTGGCTCTAGGCATTGCTGCCATCAACCAGGCCATAAAAGAAGGGAAGCCGGCTCAGACGGCACGCGTGCTGTGTAACCCGGACGTCTCCCTGCGCGGCGTCGTGGCAGAATGTGCAGGGGCCTACCAGGCCCAGCTCGCCACCCTCCTGGCTACCAAGAGACAAGCAGGTAAAAGGCTCCTGACTCCTCTGACCCTGAAAACGGCGGGGGCGGGGCTGAGTCGCCAGCTGCTGGCGTTGGTTCGCCTCGAACATCCATAGCTCTTTGGGGCAGGGAGCATTCTGTGTCCGTGCAGCGCCTAGCGCCGCGGGCCCTGGTCCGTGACTGGGACCCCGAGGGGCTACCGCAGTCCAGAGCCATAACGCCCCATTTCCACGCACTCCACAGGAAAGACGTGGCCGACCCTAAAGCTCTGACTGCCAGAAGCCAAGAGGGGAAGACTGGGTGGTCTTGCTAGCTGCCCTGGTTTGTACGCTCCCCCCTGACGCTCTGGTACCAGCTGCTGTCCTGGGCTAGCTGGACCATTGGGCTGCCCCAGTATGGCCAGTTGTGGGGACGTCAGCCAGGGGAGGCTGAACGTGGGGGATGGCCTAGTGGTTGGGGCCCTAGCCTGGGATTTGGGAGACCCAGCTTTGCCACGGACTCTGGGCGAGTCTCTCTGTGCCTCAGTTCCCACTTGAGGAGGAGGAGGATGGGTGACCGCGAGGGGAGAAATAGCACAAGCCAGATGTCAAAAGCAGAGAGGGGGCTGGCAGATAGTTGCTATAGGAAGGGCATCTGATGCGAGAGAGAAGGTCTCTTGCTCTGGATGTATGTGGGGAGAGCAGGGAGTGGAAAGCCGAACTCTGAAGCTGGGGACAGGGCTATAGAGAGCTGCCTAAATGTTCCCTCAGCTGAGCCTTGGTTTCAAAACCTGATCGGAGGCCGCCGAAATCCACTTTGCTGCTGGGATCGGTTTAACCCTGCGGCTGCCTCTCCTCTTGCCTTGTTCGTGTATGTGTGTGGAGCTCTATTAACGCTCTCCTTCCCCTAATCCTGTCCCAACGGCAACGCTCAGGGAACGCCAAACGCCACTGGGTCAGACACCAGTTGAAAGATGGCAGCGTGTATTACTTCAGCCTGCAGAGCTTCGAAGGCAGCTGGGAGCGGCCGCGTGACTCTGTCCTGAACTCCACCCACCTCAGCCGGGAGGAAATCCAGGTGAGGGGCTGTGATCAAAGCCCTCGTGTCTGGAGTAGTGCCAAAGAGTCTGGCTT